AGTGATTTTATCCTATTTTGGTTCACATTCTATTTTTTCTACAAATATATGTAAAAATCGATCGATTTTATGTGGTATAATTAGCGTAGATTTATCTGTCAAAATATAAGAACACTCTTTATTTACGAATTTTTCTTTAATCAGAAGCAATCTCTTTTCGCCTGAAAATGTCGAAGAAAATTATTTTTTTCTACGAACTTTTAATTTTTAATTTTTTCACTCGAATAAAGTTTATTAAAAAATTTAAGAATAAATTCTTATTATATATTTGCATACTCTTCCTAATTTCTGAAAAGTATTATGTTTTTATTACTAATAAATATTCGACTCCAAATTGCTCAAAAATTTTGTAAATGAAAGATGATTACCCCGTATTATTTTATAAAAGAGAATACAATAATAAAGGGCATTAAATATTCATCGACATGTAGATCGTGTCTTTTTTTATCAATTCGGATTTTTAAATTTTAATGTCTTTTCAGGCGCAAAAGGATTAAAGCGCTAAAGGGAAAATGTCGTTATATAAGGGATGCTGATGTTTGCGGTTCGAATATATGCACCCTCACGTGTCGAGAATGCGTTCAGAGTTACAAAGAACTCGCTACAGGGCGAAGCACAAAAAGTCATTTTTTTCTGACAAATTTCAAGAAATTCGTAAGCGCGCAATGTAAATGTGGATGTTATTATTGGCAAATGGACATGAAAATTCATTGTGGAAAGTAATATAAATATGTGTGAAAAATCTTTGACACATTTTAAAACAAGATTTCAAATTAAGTTACATAAATTTATTTAAAAAAAAAGACTTGATTTTATCATTTTGTTTCATTGCACTAATTGTAAGTTTAACGTTTAACAAAATCTCAAAAATATGTGTGATTACCAGCAGATTTTTTAATCAAATATAGAAACAATCTTGAGGAAAAAATTGACTTGTATTAAAACCTAACAATAAGTAAAATTAATTGATTATTTAATATGTTTTTTAATAAAAATCTTTATAAGGAAAGGCAGATTGTTTGTGGGGATGTAAAAGAAATGTCGATAAAACCGTCAAAGACGAGATACTCGACAACTTTTGCACTAATCTGTAGACACGATGCCAGGTGAACCTATGTGCGGGTAAAGAAGCAGGAGAAAGAGATGCAATTATGTCGGCCACATTCTGCCTATGCGGATATCGCGGCGAAACGCGGACTGCAAAAGCCAACGACATATTCATGTGTGCGTTATTATGCGAGGGTGCCGGGAGTGCACTTGAGAGATGCGCGCACGCGTTGCAGGACGTTCAATTAACCATGCATGCATTTGACAACCAAGAAATTGCTGCTGGTACACCTCACTTAAGACGGTCAAAAATTCAAGAAATTTTAGTTATTACAGCAACAAAAACTTCATTTTAAACCGGAGAAAAGTACGAAAAGCTCTCTCGATAACGAATATCACTTTAATCAATATTTCAATTATGCACGACAGAAACTTCATATCAAGTGAAATCATGTATGTCAAATTAATTGTTGACGAATTAATTAAAATAAAAATCTATATTAGAATTTTGTATGATTTAAATTTCTGTGAAAAAAAAAAGAATATCAATTACTCAGTGTGAAAATAAAATATACATACCTAGACACGGACAGATTTAAGAAACCTGTTGCGACGAGAAATAGTATCCGTCTCGAACGGAACTTTCATTAAGGGAAAGCCGACGTGGCGAAAGTTTTAGATAAAGATATATATATATATATATATATATATATATATATCGAGAATATAATTGACGGATTCTGAACAGGGAAGGAAGGATAGAAACGAACAACCCTGTTAATGGCGCCGTTCCTTCTTCCCCTTCCTGGAAGAGGAGAACGCGTAGAGATCGCGCTGTCTCGATCTGGCGTTTTGTCTCTCGTCTCTCCGATCTTGTCGATGGATCTCGACAACGGCGGTAGCGACGTGTTTACACGGCATTGAACTCGCCCTCTGCTCCACAGGATTCGATCCCTCTTCCGATGCGCGCGCCATGGGGTTGTCGACCGCAGCATCAGAGGGATGAGATCCCGGGGAGCTCGATGTGGTACCATGGCAAACCCATTATTATGATTATTATTCGCGTAGCTAAGTCGTAAGCGCGCGACCACCAGAGAAAGATAGAACGAGATATCCTCCATTTTTGCATCCCTCTCGTGCCGTCTCTTATCCGCGACTTTATACCCCGTGATTCGACGTTCCTCGAGATGTGCTTACGTCTTCTAGGCCTTCGCATCATCAACATTTTCGGGTTCGTTGCGTACTTTAATAATACGACTGCAATTCTGACGCTTAACAAAGTCGAATTAAATTTGCAAAACCATTGCAGATATACTTATATATATGTCTAAGCGCAGAGATTTGATAATGAATTTTTCGCGAACGGTTTGACAGATCGGAACTTTTCGGAAAGGGGAAGGGATGAAGGTTCCGATAGGCGGATTCGTGAAGGGGGAGGGAGGGGGGTGAGTGTAATTTGCCTCTAATGCGGCACTCAACATAGCAGCTGGCTCACCGGCCCTCTGCTTTTCCATTCGCCACTCGGCCACAACCGGCAACAGTAGCGATAATAATAACAATACCGGTAACAATGCCAGGAGTGGCTAGGCATTGTAACACCGCGCCGCGCGAAGGACAGCGGGGTGAGAGGGTGCAGAGGGAGGCTCCGGGTACTTGGAGTAACAATGCAAGCGCAAAATGGAGGGACACGTACCCATCTGCGTATGTCCCGTGCCGAAGGGAGGCGAGAAAGACGCGAGATAAATGCGACGCATCGTCACGAGCTCCGATATGTATCGTCGCCATTTATTGCGAGTTACGTTCGCAAAAAAGGGAGATTTTCTTTCCGAAATGACGGGCAACCGAACTCTGTACGCGATCGATAATCGCGTTAAACTACGTTACGATTACAGGGGAATAAAATGTGACAGAAGATATTTGGTCAAAATCGACGGTCGATTTCTCATACACCAAAATGTGGAATCTTCTCTTGGAGTTTATCCTGGAAAATCATGGTAATCGTGGGACAATATTGCGGAAGAATTTTATGAGTTTCTCTGATTAATATTTGACAAAATCAAAAATATTAATTACAATAAGAGAGATATAAAATATATTAATCGGAGAAACTCTTGTAAAATTCTTCCAATATTGTCCTATGATTATCATGATTTTTAGAATAAATTCTCTCTGTGTACACGTGTATAACGAAATTTATTAAATTTAAAAGATATAGGTATACTAGAAACATGAAATATGTTTTATGCAAAACGCAGAAAACAAAGTAGATGCAGTTAAAAACACATCGAATAAAGAATATAAATATATATATATATATATATATACATTGTAAAATGAAACAAGAAAAATATATATGCACAAATAAAATGCAATTTTTCTACATCGTACAAAACGAGATAAAAAATTGCGCGCAGAGAGGAAAACGCGTGAATCGTCTCCCCTTCTCGTATTTTCGATTTCGGTATTTTTCGCGACCATCTACCGCCGAACTCGTTATCGCGAAACTCGTACCGTTTCTGTGTTCGTGCCTGAAAATCCCGGCTGATTGCAATCAGACCTCTTTGCCGACTTCCGTGCTTGACTCGGAATCGACTCGTCATCGTCGTGCCAAGGGCCTCGCGCGGACGCTCGACTTCCGGTCTAAGGAAGCCAATCGTTTCCGTTTTAAAGCTCACTCACGAATATGTACAGCTTTCTTCTCAGACTCTGTTCGATTCAATTTCGTGTTTTCCAACAAATGGCAAATATCATATTTATCCCTAATCAAATATTAATGACAATTGAATTTCCGCGATATATCTTTTATCCTTTGAAGATATTTGAATCATAAAAGTATCTAAATTCATACATTATAATTCGGGTATCAATATATCGATGATAAATAAATCGTGGCATATAAATATTGAAATATGACACATTCTTTTTAAGCTAATCTCTCGAAAAAAAGCGTCCAGTGATGCTTTTGATACAAGTTCATTTGTATGGATATTATTATTGTCGGTGGAGCGCCACATACACACACATTAGGCGATGGCAAACGGACAATTCGACGCGCTTATTGTTTTCAAAGGGCTGATAAGTGAATTGAACCGCAGACGGAGGAGACAAACGGTAGACGGAACGATAGACCGAACGAAGGGGAGACCCGTGTACGGACGCAGGATGCGGCCAATGAGCCACGTAACAATTATTTATTGTTGCCAGATTGGATGCGGTGCCGCATCCAGCCGACCGGACCTACTATCTGCGTCCAATGAAAATGAATGCGTTCGTACAAATCGGCTATCCTATTTGTCCGCTGAACGATAATTGCATAATGCAGCGCTTCGTCAAGTTAGATAATTATGCGAGATATATCTACTTAACGAATTGCCGGACTCTCTGACTGATTTGTAGGATAAATATAGAGCATATGAATCGATCGTTCGGGATATTTTTTCGTATTAGAATAGATTGTTTTTTCCTTTACAAAAAATATGGAAACACATATCACTTTATTGCAATTTTTTATCACGATATATTTTCAATATATTTTAAATTTGTTAAATTGAGATTTGATTAATTTATCGAAAGATATACAGGTTTATTATATGAAAAGTATTTTCATTTTTGAGACTAATTATGCAAGAATGATTAAAGTGTCGACATTTTTGTCAAGGAATTAATTCGAAATTGAAGTTAAGATATCATGTATACAGATGATATTTTAGAAAAGTTGGAAATAAAATTTCGCAGTGACACAGAGAAATAAAATAATTATCTTCATCACTTAATTCAGCAATATATATTTTACGTCAGAGAGTCACAAATTCAAAAAGCAATTTATATTTTCACAGGCCATGTACGTTCAACAAATCTATGCAGAACTCGAGGTTGAAACACTTTATTGTTATAGGATTTCTGACTCTAAATACGCGCAAACCTAAAGTGATATATAAATATTAATCACGTACCTGCGTAGGCGTTAAATGAATTAAAGACGCCAGATGCTCCCGTTCGGGCGCGCTGAGGTACTTTTGCTGCTTGAATCGCCTTTCGAGCTCGTAGACCTGGGCCTGGGTAAAGAGCACGCGCCTCTTCCGTCTCTGCGCGAGGGGGAACTGCATCGCGCCGACGCCCATACCGACGCCGACCCCGACGCCGACGCCCACCCCCATCCCCGATGACTTGGTTACGTCGCCCATCGACTGGCCCACCGAACAGCCGGCCATATTGGTCCCGCCTGCCGCCGCGGCGCCCATCAGTCGCGAGACTGCAAAACATATTGAAAACAATCAGAAATTACACCTTGCACGTGTACCTTTTCCTCTTACTTCTAACGTAAATTAGCGCACGTACTCTTTCGCGACGAAAGATTCCCGAAAGACGTTCAAATTCTCTTCGAGAGCTTCCTCTCGAAATCTTCGAGACATCGAGATCTCGAAATCTTTGAGAATCTCGATAATATATTTGAAACATTCTGATGTTGTAACTTCATCTTCCTCGTTTTCTTTTTTTTCTTTTGTGAATATATTTAAATTTATAGTTTATTATTAATATGCTAATATACACAGAGAGAATTTTTTTAGAATTTACCTTGAAAATCATGATGGTATTGAAAGAAGTTTAAAAAAATATTAATATCTAACATAATAAGAATATAAAATATGTTAGATTATTAATTTTACTATGTACATATACTAAAATTTATTATGTGCATATTAATATTTCTTCTTTATTTTATAAATCATAGTAATTGGGATAATACGGTATTGGAAGAATTTTTTAAGAGTTTCTCTGATTAATATTTACCACAATAAAAATATCAATATCTACCACAATATAAGATATAAAATATGTTCCAAGTAAAATTTTTATTATGTACATATTAATATTTTTTATTGTGGTAAATATTAATCAAAAAAACCTTATAAAATTCTTCCAATATTGTCCCACAATTACCATGATTTTCAGGGTAAATTCTAAAAGAAAATTTCCACGTGGATACTATATTTTATAATCTATAGTTTAAAATACAAATCATCGAAATTGTGTCTATTAATATTTAAAAAATTCAAACCTTTTAATAAAAAATATAACAAAGTCGTCAAATTGCACAATACTGTATGAAATGTATGTAAAACATACATGGCTTATAAAGAGGCTTATAAGAAAAATCTCGGAACTCTTACGCGACTTTATCATAACTTAGATTATAACACGGTCATATATTTTGTCACGAGTATATACTGGCTTAAGCCGAGTGATTCTCTGCGAGAGAGCTACCGAAAGCTATATCCAATGGCTCCACGAGCGAGCGGTCGTCTATCCCTTGTCAGTTGGCGAGGAGCTGTCAAAGATGAACCTCGTGCGAACAAAGGGAACGATTTAGGCGCTGCGAAGTGCTACGTCACCGCGGTGCACGGGAGGTCCCGGAATGAAGTCCCGAATTATTATGCCCGCGAGAGAACGAACCGTATTCTCCGAGCCGTCAGGTTGAGCCGAGGGCGAGAAAAAAATACCACTTGAGCCCAGGAACAAACACCGTCAAATTTGTTTACCTCGGCGCGCCCGTCTGGGAGAGAAATCGTGGAGCTCTCCGAAGAGCGTATAAACGAAAGCAATACTATATTATTGCTCGCGCCGAAAAAAAAATGGTGGATTCTTCTCTTTTTTTGTCGGGGGATATCCTACCCCCCATCCCCATCTCTCTCATTACGCGGATATCCGGAGCGAGTTGTGCACGATAGCCTATATTCGATAGCCGATTCGAGCACTCGACCATCACCTAGTCTCTTTCGGCGCCAGTCATCGGGACATCGCGTCCTGCATTTGAATTCATCGAAACCAGCTTGCTTAGTCTATTTGACATTTTCCAACAAATCATTTGACAGCGTGCGAAATGTAAATAATCTCTTAATGATATGCGGCGACCCTTTCTAAGGGGCTTGTTTCTCCAAAAGATCTTTTTTCTTCTTCTTTTTATTCATAAATTATTTTATTATTTTATATGTGCATGAGAAATCTTGTGGGACAATATTGCGGAGGAATTTTTGAGAGTTTCTCCGATTAAATATTTATCACGATAAAAAAATATTAATGTCTATCACGCAATAAGATACAAAATATATTTAATCAGAGAAGCTCACAAAATTCTTCACACGATTACCATGCTGATTTTCAGGGTAAATTTTAAGAGCAAAATTCTCTGCGCATAGTGTCGAAATGCAATTATACTACTTCGCATTAATAATAAATTAATGCCGCATTAAAATAAATTTCTATGACAAATCCCAGCGAGGACGTAAATTATCACGTTCTCGCGTATAGATGCAAGATCCCTTTTAGGGATCTGCTTGTCAGCGATCACGGAGAACAATGAATATCCGGATGGACGGGATGTTCCGATGTAACTTCTGCCAATACACGAAGGCGGAGATCTCCCTCTCTCTCTTTCTCGATGCGAGAGATGAGCGAACAACGCGCGTGCAGGCAACTCGTTAAATAAATTGACGTTTCTCCAACAAGGTCTACCTGTGACCACCGGCGTCGCGCCTCTACCCTCACGTCGAGCAGCCGCATCGTTTCGAAACGTAATTATGTGGCATGGCAACCGAAGGGCGGGAGAAACCACCACGTCTCGGCCCTTCAACTTCCAATTAGGTGACAAAAGCCCAAGATTTCTCGCTCCGAATCACGGACTATGAAATTTCATGTACCGCCCACAGCGTGAAACACGTCCAATCCTGACGGGATAAAAGCTATATCTCATTTAATCGCCGCATAATTAATTTCATTCCATGTTAATTGTGCAATTATTGCATAATTCCGAGATTAAGTTTTATTCCACCTGCGTGTTTTGTATCTTACGTAAAGTCGCTTAAGCACATTACTATACGTGTAATTTGCGATGGAATTCGCAACGGAATTTCATTCGCATAATTTTTCACGTTGTGCAATACATCACAAATGAAACTTCACCATCTATGCGTAGATAATGGATTAATTAATAATATCAATTCAAACTTGGAATTTATTTGTTAAGCTTATAGAATTCAAATAAGATTTATAATCCTTTTTCAAATCCTCATAATTATATATATATATCTCTCTCTTCATATTATTATTCATATTATTATAATATACCTACAGAATCCGTTTCCGCAGTCGTGATAATTGCTGATCGTGATAAACGAGCTCGATAATAAAGGAATAAATAATCATATTGTTGTTAACGCAGAGTATAAATGTTGGGTAGTGTGTGCGTGAAATGTGGTTTATAAAAAATGTAAAAAAAAAATTTAATGACGTTATACTAAATAACGTGACGTACACATGAGATCAGAGGCTTTTAATAGAACGTTATTGAAATGCAAATCACGAACGCGTAACAGTACGTTTGATCGGTACAATATATCATCGAAAGACGTCAAACTGCCAACTAACAACAATGTTAAAACGCTACATCTCTCAAGAAGACTGATAGATTCATGATAAATACACATGACTTTCGATATGATATATGAAAATTATGAAGTCTATTAATAAATTGTGCACAGAGGCACGATTAAAATAAACAAACTACAAGATTTATTCATTCACGGAATATTTGGATAAGCACTTCTGCACGGAGAGAATTTTCTCTTAGAATTTACCCTGAAATTCATGGTAATCGTGGGACAATATGGTAGTAAATTTTGCTACGTACATATAGTAAAATTAATCGAACATTTTTTATATCTTATTGTAGTAGATATTAATATTTTTTATTGTGATAAATATTTAATCAGAGAAACTTTTACAAAATTCTCCCAATATTTTCCCATGATTATCATAATTTTCAGGGTAGGTAAATTCTAAGAAAAAAAATCGGAAAATCATTTAATCTTATAATAATTATCGTTGTACAAACGATTTTCAAATAAATCTCCATGCACTCTTCATTTTCAGTCACATGGACTTGCATCATTTTATAATTAGGTACACCGAATGGAAATTGAAGAAACTACGAGTTTCAGCGAAACGAATTTCGCGGGAAGAGCGATTCGTTCTCGCGAGAATTTTTTCCACGTGTTTATTTTGCGAGGGGGATGAGAGAGGAACGAGATAAGTCCGCGAAATCGAATTCGAACGTATATCCGGGCCTTTAAATTCGAGAAAGAGAGAGAAAAAGGGAGGGAGGACCGGTCTCGCTTATGTTTGTTTAACTAAAATCCTCGGTCCAGCGGCGACCGTCGCCGCTTTCTCGAATTCTGGATCGATATATATACATATATACTATATACACGGGCGAGATCGGAGGATTGTGGCGCGTGCGAGACGGACGAAAAATCCACTCTCGGGACGAACGCTTGTTGACACAAGCCGTACGAAAGATGCGCATTGTTGGCCGACGATGGTATGCGCGAGGTGGTTCCTCGCTCTCCGGTGATGTGGACACTGAAACGCGAAACTCGCGCGTTCCGGACATCCAAATGGATGTCTCCCGAGTGTCGAAAGCTTCCACATTTCCCTCGCAAGAGAGAGAAAGACACTCTCTCACGCGCGCGTCGATCCTTTTATTAAACTGTCCCACTTAAGGAGTATCGTCGTGCGAATCCTACCGCTTCTCTCTCTCTGCTTCTCTTTACTTTACGGATAATTGAACTTGAAAGGATACTCGTGTAGGGCGCAAGAACCGATCTTTAAAATGTATCTCTTCTCGGACAAAATACGCATCGGATACCTTGTCGAAGAAAATATTGACATGTACGACTCCATTTTTTCAGGATTATATAAAGAGAGCTTAGCAAAAGATAGAACAACGACTTGTTTAGATTTATATTAGAAATTTATATTATTTATATAATTATTTATATAATTTTATTTTTATTTTTATTTCAATTTTGAAATCAAATATTTTTGATGCATCCAATTATCCATTTCTGTTTAGAGAAACAATAGAAATTGAAAATTGTGAACGATAAACTAGATAAATAAACGCGAAGAGGCAATTGAAATCAAATTGATTTTTTTAAAGATTTAATCATCTTCGTTTTCGTTATAATTGGGTTTGTTATTGCCCTTAAAATCGAGAAATTTAAATGAATGTCCTAGAGATAGTTACTTATTTATATTTCTATAAAAACAACCAATTATCTATGAAATATAGATCAAAGAATATGATTAAAATAAAAAATAATTATTTATATTTTCTTCGAAAAGCTACATTATTGTAATCTATGTAATTGAATAAACTCCTATTTCCCGATTACGCGTTATAATTTATTTATAAGAAATTTCTGTATTCGCGCATATATATACCTATATGTCAACTTGTGGGGGATGAAAATAAAATGTAGTCTTCTTCCCTCGAACAGCACTTAGAGACGGTCGTGAACTGAGAGATGCATCTCTTCTTACCAATTAACGACAGCGCTTTTTCGTCAGCTTTGTAACGCGACACCGACTCTCTCATCAATCCTTAAATGGAGCTAAGATATCCATGATCCTGTCGCTTACAAGCGCCGATAAAAGCGTGACGGACGTGACTCTTAAGAGGCGGAAGGAATAGCCGGTTGTGCGATATAGGTTTTTTATCCGAGAACAACGTATATATATACATGTTTCGTTTTCTCTCTTTCTCTTCGGAAGAAGACATTTCCGGCATTTCTACACAGAGAGAATTTTCTCTTAGACTTCACCCTGAAAATTATGGTTACCGTGGAACAATATATAATATTGGAAGAATTTTATAAAGTTTCTTTGATTAATATTGATCACAATAAAAAACATCATATATTGTCTCACGATTATCATGATTTTCAGGAATTGATCCTTTCTAAAAGAAAATTCTCTCCGTGTACAGAGTGCAAGGTATAAGATTAATTCGACAAATCTATCCGATTGATTCGCGCACGTGATTCCTCTATCCCTAAAGATTTCATTCGTCAATTTTTCCGACGTCGATTAAATAACAGGTGTAAATCGTTGATGCGAGATGCCGGTTTTGCATGTTAACGATGATCGTCAGACAGAACGCGCGTTCTTTGAGAATAAGGTACAACACGGCGTTCGTATTCTATATGGAACTACGCCGTGCCTCGCCGATAAATACAGACCCCTCGAAACTCATTTAACAGGCTGACAGAATGACTGTTTGCATTCGATAACTCGGTAACGTTTAGCGGACAGACTAACTGTCCGTAATCCGTCGAAGCAGCCACTGAATTAATCAATATGTAGACGAGGTACGCGGAGGCTTTTTGTGCTCGTCTCCGACGAGCATGTAAATGTGAACGTGTGTATGTGCGTGTGTAAATGTACCTGATAAAATATTCCCTCCATTAAAAATCGTAAAGCCATTTAAGCGAATAGACGAAGATAACAGAGTCACATCGACATTGAATTCTTAACTGCGAAAGCTTTTCATGAAAATTTAATGGATGGTTCGAAGCCAAAGAGCATATGTATATATGCGAAAGATAAAGTAAGTAAATTATTTCTTTACGCGCATGCAGGGTGTCAATTGTATGTATTGCACAAATATTTAATAGCAAATATATAAAGTATATTTATAAGATAATATATCTCACTCATTAATTATTTTCTAAAATAATTTAAAAAATTTTGGGGGGGTTTTATTCAGATATAATAGAAATTCTGTATGTTACTGTATTTTAACATATAGTTGTCGTTAAAAAAGAGAGATACTTTACAAATATTTTCCTTGGAAATATACTTCAATATAAATCGACAATAATACGTTATATTTAAAATATGTTAAAACCTATATTGATATAATACTTTCTGATTTACATCTATAATATATTGAATGTGTTTCAGTAATTTTATTATTTTCTAATTAGCAAAAATTAAACTTATTCACTTTGAGCGATTCGATCTGATGACTAAAGTCCTGATAATTCTAGAGAGGCTCTTTGAATCTCAAATGTAAAAATGATCCCTTATTCGTTACAATTAGTAAAGCTATTTTTTATATAATATCGCACAGTAATATATTTAAAAGGAGAAACTTGCAAACAACACTTTAATATAGGAGCAAATCTTTTTAATTATTTCATAAAATTTGAATGAGATATATTGAAAGAGAACTGTTTGTTAATCGATAATTCAATCATATTAATGCGTTTCTGTCTCTGGTTTTATATGAATATGTATGAGAGAGGCATGTTTTTTCTTTTTTTCACTTTCATAAATTAGCTTCTTTAATTTCCTTTATATTATATAAGCGTCTGTTGAAATTATCTTAATTTGTTCAGACATTTATTTCCAACATGAAGATTCTTTTAAAAATCTAAATCTATTGAAAATATTTCTTACACATATATAAATCATAACTTGCAAATTGTTTAGAATAAATTATTAATTTTTTTACACCAGATATATCATATATTTTAATTACATAAATTAGTTTAACGTGCTTCAATGACGGATTCTAAATATTTTACTATATAAAGTAGGGATTTTCAAATTAAAGATTGCGAAAAAAAGAAAAAAGAATTAAGTAATAGAATTTTTATAAATTATATCCTTCTCTCTCATTTTCAATTAGATTCACGCATTTCACATACGCCGTCACATTTGCAAAAAAATATGAATACTTTTCCGATGCGGAGAAAACCGCGAGTATCACACGTATGTTGATAACAATTTGCTAGAGATTACGTATACATAATACAGCTTCTAGAGAGACCTAGAGTTCTGAAAATTTTCTCCTCGGATTTTCTCGCATCGAAGAAGCAGGACGCAGGACATCACTTCTCGTCGTAAACGAAGCAAGGAAAGACAAAGGTACTCACTGGCGAAGCGCGGGTCGTTGGTGGCCGGGGGCGCCGGTGCGTACCAAGGATGATGGTGCGACGAGACCGCGTGGGACCGCATCGGGTCCGCGGCGGTGGCCGTGGCGCCGACGCCGGGTCCGGCGTGATGGTACGGAGACAATTCCGCGGCACAGTATTGCTGATATTGCGAGGTGAGCTGCATGGTGGCGTAAGGATTACCCATGGCGCTCATGCCGCCGCCGGCACTACCGCCGCCACCGGGGGCGGCCCCGTTGGCAACGGAGGAAACCGGTCCGGGGGTGCTGCCGCCGGGCGTCGAGCCGCCGTGCAACGGCGGGCTGCCGCTGCTCGCGCTCGAGCTACCGGTGTTGCCGCCCACCCGGGCACCGCAAGCGTTACCGTAGGGCGAGGCCTGGGAATGCGTGACGACGCCGACCCCGACGGCGGCGGCAGCGGCGGCCAGCTCGAGCTTCCGGTAAGACTCCTCGATCGGCGACAGGATATCGGTGACACTGAAGGGCGTCGTGTGGGCACCGCCGGCTGTTTGCACGTGGGACGAGTGTTGCTTGGGCGACAGGCTCATCGCCAGATCGATGCCATTGAGATCTGACAGCAGGCCAGCCTGCTCCAGTTGCGACTGCTGCTGCTGCTGTTGTTGCTGCTGTTGCTGCTGTTGCTGATGCTGATGATAGGTCGTGGCGTTACCGTTGCCGCCTTGATTGCCGCCGCCATTTCCGCCACCGCCACCGCTGCCGCCGCTGCCGCCGCTCATCTCGGCGAGCCCGACGCCGTCGAAGTACTTGAAGCTCGCGCTTCGCGGAATGATGAGGCCGGCGCTAGACGTAACAACGGCGTGACATTATGACGCTACTACGAACGTAGCTTCCTCGATCGATTAACTCTTCAATTATCTCGCGCGAACGTTTTTTTTTTTTTTTTTTTTAATCTTTACTTCGTGGGAATTTTTCGAATAGTCCTTAGTTAATCGCGCACAATGACACAACTGTCGCTCACTTCTCCAAGTGACAGATCTCACGTGGACGCGCACAATAAGATCCTGTTTTTTTTTTCTTCTTCACCAACACCGGAGCCTTTTATCTTCTGAAACAGATATAAAACTCGTAATCATCCGCCACGATTCTCGTCTCTCGGTTTTCCTTCCTGTGATCCCGATCGCGTCGTTTAAATGCGTGCATAGTTTGCGAGAACAGAAATTTTGACACAAGCACGAGTATTTCACTGAAAGTGTTTAATCAATCTCAGATATCACGAACGTTTCTTCTCGGCGACTATCGAATTCAACATGTTCATCTTCATTCACTGCGCATTTTTTTGTTTTTAATTATTAATCGATGATATATGATACAACTTCATTCACGTACTTCTAGGTAATTCTTTGTCTTTTTTCCTAGAAGAGGTCTTCGCAAACCGCAAGGATGACGTTCAGGACGAAGAATCGTCTTGATTGCATGGCGTACGAACCGCGACCGTCAGGAAACCGAGTGGAAAAATCGATGGCGCAGTCGACCGGCGACCAACTCGGATGACACCCGGGAGATAGATCGTTAAATCTCTCGATATACCGTTGGACCGAGGAGAGCGTAGCCGATGTATCGTTCTTGCGACTTTGCCTTTCGAAAATCCTGGTGGCACGCGCGAACGTGGTCGAAAGAGCCTGTCGACCTTACACACACGTGGTCGAGGATAGTGGCCGGCCAGAGCCGGCCGGCGGCCGACTGAAATCACACGGGGGTCTTCGAGTCCTTGGATTCCGCCGATAGAGAGACGATGGTAGATGTACCACTCTACGCTTCGCCTCCACCTTCGTCGAGGATACACTCTCTCTCCGTAGGAGAAGAGCCTGCTCTATGGATGGATGGATGGATGGATGGCTGGCTGGCTGGCTGGCTTGCTGGCTGGGTGGCTGCCTTGCCTGGCTTGGCTGGCTTGGCTGGCTAGATGGATGGATGAATGAATGGAGAGGACTTCTGTCGGGTACTCCTGGAGAGGTCCTCACGGCCGCTTAGACCCACTCGACCAGCGCTCGCCCGCTCGCGCTCGCTCGTTCGCTCGCTCGCTCACTCGCTCGCTCGCTCGCCCGCCCGGGCACACAGGCCCCGCAGCCTCTCGCGGAGAACCCGTACGACGACACGATGAGTGGAGTGCCCACTACGGAGAAGTGCCTGCTACCAAGAGTCGTGATGAGATGTCCCCTTTTGCGTGTGAGAGAAGGGTTTCCATACGCCGTGGAGAGGTGCGGAGAAGCCGCGATCCGGGGGAAGTGGATGCCGGGAGATCCATCGTACGACCATTGGGCAAACTTCGCCAATCGGATAGTGCGCACACGCCAACATCTCGCTCATTGGATCGCGTCGGTCGTCATCGTGAACCATGGTGGGACGAGCTTACCTCGTCAGCTGTCACGTCGTTGGTGGCGGTGTGGAATTCTGTCGGTGCTTATCTACCAATAGGAATGATCGTGCGACTGCGTCCCCGAAATCGTAGCGGCAACGAGGAACCATCCCTCGGGCGGAGCCGAAGACGAAATGGAGGGGAAAAATTAATGACGGAAAAATGTTCCTCGACGGCATCACATCGGCGCCGAAATCCTCGTCGCGGCTCAGCAGCCGACGGTACTTTTCGAATCTGCGTCATGGTGCTGTCACGCATCTGCCACCAAGCGGATACAAATCCGAGTCTCACGACGCAAGTCCCACGAGAGTTCGCAGCATCAAGCTCCTGCCAAGATTCTTGTTGCGAGCTTTGCGAACGAATGGTACGCGCGAGAGGAGAGGTTTTTCTGTCACTCTGTTCTTCTCTTGTGGCTATTATCGGCGAACGTGGGAATTTGACATTCAGTGGTGTTGACCTTTTCACGTGGGTGATATCTTGACGAGGTTCGCTCCTGTGTACCCGATATATCAATGCGCTGGTGCAAGCTCGAGTGCTATTATTTTAAAGGCTGTTGTACACAAATTTACCTGCAAAAGCATGTTATTTATTAGCGACCTAATCTTAATGAAATGTTCGACAAACTTCTATGTGATAACTTGTGCTCAATTTCTCTATATGTATGCTTTTGTTAATTTGTGTACGTCGATTAATTCAATGTAAATCATTGGTTTTGATATCTACATCAATGTATGGATAGAATTACAAATGTGCATTACATATAGAGAAAAAGAGGAATATTTGAACAGAATATTTAAATAATATAAATATTACGTACCGCATAAAATAGGAAGCCTTTAAGTGCTTTTTGTACAATTATTTAAAAGTACAAAAATGCCACTGTTTGATGCATGGTATTTTAATTGTTCATCTGCTCCAGCGTTCAAGTGTGCCTCTCTTTTTCCCTAATTGTTTCAATAAAAATGTATATAAATATAAATGTTTCAGCAGACGAAATAATTTTAAATCTCGCAAGTTTAATATTAAAACTATTAGTTTTAACAGTTATTTTTAAATATTGATTCCCTTTATCTATAAATGTATGTGCTTGTGTGTCATATATGCTTGTATGTATATGAATAATTTTAGAAATCGTAAATTAATATTATTCATAAAAATTGTGAAAGCAATAAGTTTCTTAATTAACAAGTTTTGCTGTAATATTGTTATAGCTCTTTTATTTGTTACCAGTTTATATAAAAGTATGTAAATAAATGTTACTTTCACATTTTTATAGATAATAATTTTTTCTTAGACTTTATCCGTGTTAATAATTTAGAAATTTATTTTCATACACTATCTTAAAATCTAATTATATATTTATTTTTATTTTTGTAATGTTTCTTTATGAAATCTTTGTTTTTCTTATAACAAATACAAAAAAAATTTGTCACATTGCAGCAAAATTGTAAATTAAAATTAAATTTTGTATAAACGTTAAAATGGTAAAAATTTAGTAAACTACAGAAATATTGTAACAATGTAATACATACAAAAAACAATATTGTAAAAATATTACACTGCGATATTTAAGAAATGTGATTTAATTGTTCGATTTTTTATGAAATTTATTGGCCTAATTATTGGTCATCATTATGTATACTAGTGTATAAAATAATGTGTTTCAATAAATTTTTCTTTGCACATAAATATTATTAATTGTTTCATGATCATAATTTTTTAATATAATTGAATAAAGTTAAGATTCTTATGTTTAAAAAAATCTATGAACATATAATCTTGAAATATAAAAAATTGCAGGAAATGTTATTATCAATTTTTCATAACTTTTTTGAATAAAAGAAGAGAAAGAGTTTTTTCATAATGTATAAGTTTTGATTTTAAAAATTATATGATTGTATATAAAACGTTAGATAAAATAAAAGTTACTATTTTTGTATAATTATTTTTACTAAACTTATTTATATGAAATGCAGCACTCACAAAAAGAATAAACTTTTAATTACTCTCTAAAAATATAAAAATATTTAAAATAGTATAAAGTAGTATAATGATAAAATTATAAAGATATAAAAATATTGTAAAATAAAATTATAATGTTTGAAAACTATATTTAATTATTTACATTAGAAATTATCACTTTGCTTTCTTAAATTGCAAATGTTTAAAATATATATATATATATAATGGCACATTTGATCTCTCTTTATTTTACATATATAAATTTCTTCTATATTTGTTTTATTAATTATGTCAAGATGAAATAAGAATATGTATCATTTTTATATCATGAAAGATTCAAATAATCTAATATGAATATAATAATAATGTGGCATCCTTTGAAATAATCCATTTTACATAAAAAAATATATGTATCAATTATATTATATATGAAATATCCTATAATATATACATATATAAAATCCTTTATATTACATATGTATGATTTGTTGATTCAGATATATAATTGTTGTATTACCAAGCAACTTTGCCTTTATGGGTTCACACAAAAATCCTATAATATATGTAGAAAACTTTATATTACATGCACGCAATTTATTAATTTCAGATATATGATTGTTATATTGTTATATAATATATCCAAGCAAACTTTGCTTTTATAATTTACGCAGGCAAAGCTTATATATACATAATGTTATACATATATGATATAAAGAAATAGGTTATAATGCCTAATACATAAGAATATGTTATACATATATTAATTGCTACTTACTATTATCGTTCTTCATTACGTGTACTAGGCGCATGATATAAATTCGTCAATGTCCTTATTGCAGTAGAATTCTCGAAAATTTTAGGGATCAAGATTGGAAGAGCTGGAAGAAATAATAACTTTGTGACTAGTGCTCCGATTTGCCATATATGGTAATGGCGTAATGGACGTTTAACAATTTATTCATCAAAATAGGAGTAACCTAAAAAAATATTTTTTTCTTATTTAGTTCTAATTCAATTCAACGTTGCTCTATTCCATTCAATAGACTTTTGAACGTAATAAAAAAAGGAATAAGAAATTAGATGGATGCACGCACATATGTGTATATGTATATATGCAAATGTATATATATTAATGTACGTGCATCGGCAATTCAAAATAGATGGGCTCTCTTTTTCGCGCATGCGTGCAAGTGTATTTATTTTGAGTATAACACATGATCCTTGCTTTAGAAAATTATTTAGAAATTTTGTGAAAAAAAATTAAAAGATTAAAGTAGAAAAGGGTAAATATATAAATCGGAAGGGTGAGGACGTTACATTACTGCATATTTACCTAAAAAAGGATGAAATTACATGATAAATAATATATGTACAAGTACATTTATATAAGACAGAGAGAGAGAGAGAGAGAGAGAGAGAGAGAGAGAGAGAGATCAAGTATATAAAATTACATGATTTAAAACAATTAAAATATACATAATTGATTGTAATATACAATATAAAAGTATATATGCAAACCTCGGAAATGCACGTCGCACACACACGTACACATATACATGTTGCTACTGAATTTGCATCTCCACATCGCGTATATGCGAAAAAGAGAGTTATCTATTTATCGTTGCATTCATACCTATTAATGACGTTGTTCTTAACTCGAAGATCTCTATATTTTACTCTATTTTTTATAATTCTATTTCTATTTGGAAGAGCTGCACTTCACCAAGTCCGATTAGATAAACCAACGGTTAAAATTGACAGGTTGACCAATAGTCAATAGACAAAAAAATATTCATGACTTTCAATACTTGGTTTTGGCCACCTTGATAATTTTAATGGCTAATTTCATCTATATAACCGCACTTAGTAAAATTGATCCTGAATTATTAACTATTCTTCATCTATGCTTCTTTCTTTTTGCATCGAAAAATAAAGAGTCTGATATAAACTCTACGCGAATAAATTAATTACAGCTAGATTATGATAATAATTAATATACATATACATGTATGACACGAAAAGCCCCATCCTTGATCCTTGCGTTGCTCCAAGCTCCAACTATTTGAAAATAGTACAAGTGCTGCCATCTAATCATCGAATGGCGGAATTATTCTTTTTTTACCGCTCATCTCTCCTAGTTTATCACGGAAGAGGCGCGAGATATTTTTTCTTACTGATAGAAGTGTGTATGTATAATGCATATCTCAAGTATGCACAATAACAGATGTATGAGATACTCATAAATCATATATAACATAACCGGTTATTATCTTATAAAGTAAACATTTTGTGCAAAATCACTGCAATCTTGCACAATTTCATCTTTAACAATATATATTCTTCCACGAATACTCTTTAACATCAGACGTGAAAAAAAGTTTTTAACATGCCAAAACAAGTACATATTTTGCATGGGGAAGGAGAATTGGTTCCAGAACTTGACTTCTCTGTGGGACAATTATTATTAAGACAATTGATGGTACATGATACTCGTGTGGCAAATGTAAGTTATGTCTTTTTTGCATTTATATATATATATATATATATATATATATACATTTATGAATATATATTAGCATAACAAAATATGTAGTACAGAAAAATTATAGTGTTATTATAGATTTAATAATCTTGTTGCATATAACTTTTCTCACATTACTGATATGTTTTACAGATAGATGCACACACAGGCAAGGAACAAACATTCAAATATATTTTAGATACTAGTCGAAAATTAGCTATCTACCTTCAGAAGGAAGGGGTGACTGTGAACGATGCTGTAGCTATATGCAGTGAAAACAATCTAGAATTTTGTATTCCGGTGTGTGCCACATTTTATATTGGTGCCATTGTCTGTCCATTAAACCCATCATATTCCGAAGGAGAATTAATACATGCGCTTACCATTTCGAAGCCAAAGTATATTTTTGTTTCTGCAATAGCACTTAATAATTTGAAAAATATATTCAAAGAGTTGCATTGGTCACCGAGAGTATTACTGCTAAATGATTATGGTAATATTGATGTATCATGGATAAGCATGAATAAAGTAATATCAAGTATCTCTGATGACAACATGGATAACTTTGAAGCTGTTCCTGTTGATGTAAATAATCATGTAACAGCAATTTTATGCTCAAGTGGAACTACAGGATTAGCAAAAGGTGTTATGTGGACAGATAAGAATATTAATACAATCATACGTATGTTCATAAGCAGCCCATATGTTGCAACTACTATGTCTTTGGCCTTACTTCCATTTTTCCACTCGTATTCGTTTACCGTGTTGGTGATCAGACTGATAGGTGGAGGTAGTGGTGTAATACTTTCACGCTTTGAAGAAGAATTATTTTTACAATTAATAGAAAAATACAAAATTGAATATTTAACTATAGTACCACCAATTATGGTATTCCTGGCCAAACATCCACTTGTGGACAAATATGATTTATCTTCTGTTAAAAGAATATGGTAAGTATGAAATTTTGGAAGCAAGCTGTAAATGAAAAAAATGCATTAAAGAAATAAAAAAAAATGAAAAATGCAATATAATCAATTTTTAAAGAATGCTATATAAATAAAAATGTCATTGATGTTGATTATGCTGAAATATATATCTGATACTTTAAAATTTCATTTAAAATCTGTGAATTATGTAAAGTACTTATTTATTTATTATAGGTGTGGAGCAGCTCCATTATCAGAGAAAGTTCAGAAAGCTGTCTCCAAGCGATTAAATATATCTGAAATTAAACAGGGTTACGGTTTAACAGAAACTACTTTAGCTGTACTACGATTTCCAGAAAATGCAGCAGTAAAATTTGGTAGTGTCGGTGTATTAGCTGCAGGTGTATCAGGTAATAATATTTCCTGATTATAAAAATATATAATAATATAAATATATATATATATATATCTTACTACTTGAAATGTAATCAATTAATATTTATTAATTATTTACACATGTTTGCAAATCGTTTCAGAGCTGTAGTCCTGTAAAATTAAACACATTTTATTTTTACTCACTATTTAATCATGATTATTTAGATTTTGTAATATTATATTTTGGAATAACATCATATAATGTTTACTTTTCTAATATTGATATTAGTTTATATTTTCCACTTTTTTCTACAACTTTTGATGATTTGTTATAAGTTAAAAGAATGCATTAATATGAAATACATAATAATTTATGATATTCTTTCAGCAAAGGTAATACCATTTGGAGAATATGAGACGGATAAAACTTTAGGACCAAATTGCGAAGGAGAGCTATGTTTTAAGGGAGACCAAATAATGAAAGGCTACTATAATGACGAAAAATCCACTAGAGCGACAATTGATAAGGATGGTTGGTTGCACACAGGAGACGTAGGATATTATGACGAAGATGGATATTTTTATATCGTCGATCGTATAAAGGAACTTATCAAATATAAAGGCTTTCAAGTTCCACCAGCTGAGCTTGAAGCGATTTTATTGACTTATCCTGGCATAAAAGACGCGGCCGTAATAGGCATTCCGAATGAAGAAACTGGGGAATTACCAATGGCCTTTGTTGTGAAACAAAACGGTGTCAATGTACGCGAAAAAGATATAATCCAATATGTAAATGGTAAGAATATCTTTCTTTGTTTACTATACCTGATCTATCACATCTAGTAATGAAACTAATCTGATTTGTAAGATACTTATTAATTCTAGAATGCGTAAAAAAGTTTATTAAAACTTATTAAATTTATGAAGAATCATTTTTTTAATTAATATTGTAAAATAGGTACTGAAAATTTCGCATGTGTGCATTTTATTATATATTTGTTCCTTTTTCAGAACGTGTATCAAATCCTAAGCGACTTAGGGGTGGTGTAAAATTTGTGGATAATATTCCAAAAACTTCAACTGGTAAAATATTACGTCGAGAATTGCGTACGTTAAAATCAAAATTATAAACTTCTTAAATTATTTTTATGAAGATTATATTAACAAAAATATAATCTTCCTTCTTAATATATACTACTTTCTTCCTTATAACGAGCAACTATGGTGTAAGATAATTTACTCTTATTTATTACAAACTATTTAAATCACACAATGTAAAAATGATACTGTATATAATATTCGGTGAAATTTTAGAGATTATTATGTATTTTTTACAAGTTATCTTCGACTGATTTTGATTTCACAAAATAAACGTTGATTACTTTTGAGAAATCAATACTTTTCAATATTATATAAATTCTATAGAAGACTTGCGTTTTAAATTTTGGCAAATTATCTGCATATTTTATGAAAACATTACTATTATTTTATCTTATATATTATTAAAGAATATATTTTATATCTACCAAAAAATAAATAATTATTTTTATTTTATATAACTTTATTACAATTAAATAGAAATATATCTGTGCAGTAAATAATGTGTGTTCTTATACATTGTAATGTTGAGTAATTGTATATAAATTAGCTTACATGATATAATGGAAAACTAGTTATAATTTTTTTCTTATACTATATATACATTGCGCAGCTCTATTTAAGATAAATTTATAAAAATATTAGAGCTCTGGCAGATTGAATATAATGCACAAATATCTGTCAGTAGCTTCCCCATGCTTGTCCCCACAAAAAAGGTTTTTCAAGAATTGAAAAAAATTTCAATAAGTCTGCTGTTATACAGTATTAAAGAGAAATATACAGTTTTTATTTAAAAACTTCTATAACAATAATATGTAACAAATTTAGATGAATTTAGAAAAATGATTTTTATCAGAAAATGGAAAGGTATTCACATATTAATTTAGTAATATTATTCAAAATTTAGAAAAATATTTGTATATTGACTTAATTTTAGTAAGTAACAAAAGAAAATTAAGTATTTATAATTATTTTTCCTTGTGTATATTAATAATAATTTACTTTTGGCAGATATCTTATTCAACTTTGGTGTTTTCTATTAGTGATTTTATTTAAAAAATATAAAATTAAAAGATTCATATGGTGATGATAAATTATTTTATATATAAAACATGTATTTTCACAATATTTTTTTTCTTTTTAATTATAGCAATATCCTTTATCAAGTAATTAAGAAATAGAACTTGTATTTTCAATATTCTATTTTATCTGAATAATGAAAAATATGTTTCACTTCATTATAAGAAAGAGAGTCATCCTTATCATTTGTCAAACAAGTGTGTCTTGAACCTTATTTGATTATCTGACTGATATTCGACAACTTTAAAAGAGAGGTTTTTTTTGGATAATTCAAATCCATTGTTTTATTACAAAAAATGACTAGCCTCGAAAATCTATTTTTTAATAATAAGATATATATTTATCGGTTATATAATTGTTACTTGGAACTGGTCGTGACTTAATAATCAGGACCCGAGATGAAGTGAGATTTTATAAAATCAGTCACTTTGACTTTCAGCATTAGACTTTCAATAGGCTCAAGATTCACTTGCACCCAAAAAATCTGCAATATTATAATCAGGGTAAACTTGATCTTATAATCGGGGAACATTGTACTCATACATCTTAATCGAGGCACTGTATCATTCTAGAAAAGACTATTTTATACATAAATACCAAATTATGCATTCGCTATTACATATATCATAGAAAAGGAAGGCAGAAACGGAAAGTTTAGACATTTCATAAAAGTTTTTGAGGGATAGAATCTTATTATAAAATTTACATGCTCCTATATGATGTACTTCTAGAATGTCGATAATCAATTGAATAAATAAGTTATCTCGATATGAGAAAAATGTAAACAGAATTATTACAAGTTGTATTCTCTCATACTGTTTTCATTCTTCAGATATTAAAAAGTTAAAATTTGTTATAAAATATTCAAAAATAAATATTTTATAAATTATATAACAAAATTCATGTGCCAAATTATTATAATTATATATTTTAAAATCATTGGACTTTTAACCGCAGTTTCTTTAATGTAAATCTAAAAATAAGAAAATTTAATTTTTAGTATGAGTTTTGGGAACGTTACATTTTTAAATTATAACAAAATTATGATTTTTTTGTGATACTCTTGAAACAATATAAAACGTTAGTGATTTATAATCACACACTTAGTGTTATATTAAGTTTTTTGTAGTTTAAATTTCAATATAACATTTATTAACATCGAGAAAAATTAATATAAATTAAAAAATACTTTTTTTTAAACTTAATTTGTCACATAAATTCTTTATTTTTAATTACTAATTATTTAAGAAATGTGCATTAAAATTAGAAAAATTTCATTAATAAGTTTCATATAGAGATCAATTTTATATCAGAAAGTATGCAATAAAAATATGCAGTGATAACTAATTTAGAACATTCCATATATTGAATGTGAATTTTGAAAAAAATGTGTTAATAAGATTATAATTTAACATTCGCCCTGCGTGATTTTATATTTAAAAAAATACGAACTATAACATATCAGAAATATAAAGTCAGTCATACAAAAAAATCAACATTATGCTTATCACTGTTTCTTAAAACTCTTGAGAATTGGATAAATGTTGTCAAAGGCTTCATAAATTTCCTTGCGAACCTTTGCACCTGACAGAACACATAAACATATAATAAATATTTAATTATAAACATATGTGGACAAAGTGTGTAATTCAATATCTCTCATATAAAAATTTATCACTATTTAAAAACGTCCAGCATAAACTTTTTTTATAAATATGCAATTATAATAATTAAAATTTTGAAAATATCAATATTAATATGTTCTACATATAAAAATAATGATATTATAATTCAATAGAAGTCCAGATATGTTAAATTTTAAAATTGAAAAAATTACAGCTCTGCTATATTATCTAAATATTAGACATTAAGACATTTTTTTATGAATAATCTTATAAAATAATTATAAAATCTTTGGATATGTATATGCTCACCTGTTAAAACCACTTTCCCTGAAACAAATATCAGCAATACGATTCGAGGTTTGACCATCCTATAAATTAGACCTGGAAATAGCTCTGGTTCGTATGACGAAAACTGTCCGTGAGAAAGTACTAAGCCTTCTAATCTAATTGGAAACTTAACATCACAGCTGCCAACCATGTTCTGAATCTTAAAATCTAGGAACTTTGCCTAAATTTACAATTAAAACAATTTTAGTAATCATATTTATAATAATAAAAGATTAGTTACTATTACAATTATTTATCGTTAATTAATTATTATTATATAATATATAAACTGTAATACTGTAATATTTTTTAAAATTACATTTAAAAAATAATAGATCTCACAGTATATCTTTAATATATAAAAAAAAAAAAAAAAAAAAAAAAACAATACTTACAGGAAAACCTAATTTTTGGATAATTCGCGCGTACTTTCGTGCAGCGAGACGTGAATCTCCTTCACTCTTGGCCCCAGTGCAGACCATTTTGCCACTACTGAATATCAGTGCAGTAGTCCTTGGTTCTCTTATTCGCATGATAACAGCTGCAAATCTTTTAGGATTGTATTCGGCATTTCTAGCATGAAGTGCTATTTTCTTCAAATCGAGCTTGCAATTTAAGTTAACAGTAGATACAATATTCCTACAATAGAGCAAAATATATAATGTATCACACGTATACAATATATGTAAAAAAATAAAATTAAAAAAATATATAAATTTCTTTGAAAATTTACTGTAATTGGGGTAATATCCCAGGATCTGCAGAAGCTGGTGTCATCGGTGTCATTGGTCCTGGAGTTGCAGGACCTATTGATGGTGGTGCTATCTGATTATTTTGTGGTACAATTGGAGACATCATATTTTGCTAAGAAATAAAAGAGATAGAATAAATTAATAAAAAATGTAGAGGAATTTTTATAAAATATTGTATTTTTCTTTTCGTTTAACTATATATTCTTCAAATTCTCTTTTATTATTGTTATGTCCACTATTTCAATCATAATTAATATTTCAATATTTAAAATATAAACAAATAAATTTCAAATTAATGTGTTGAAATAAACATAAAATCAACATGAAATCAATAGTGGAAAAACTTAATTTACTGAAATTTATCACTTGCTACAATGTAACATTGTAGCTTACAAAGTTGTAACTATGAAAATGTCTTTTTGGAAATTTAACACAAAGAATAAAATAAAGAAAAAAAATTATTTACAATAATGTTATTTAAACTAATAATTCTAATAGCACTTCAATATTAAATTACCGGCGTTTGTGGCTGCATAAGACTTTGTGGCGTTGCAAATGTTGGAGTTGGAGCATACGTGTGCATATTCTTTTGTGGTGTTAGCATCAACATGCCGCTTTGCATGTTGGGACTCATCGAGTGTAATTGCTGCAGTTGCTGATATTGTTGCGACTGCTGCTGCTGTATAGCATTTGGCAAGATCTGTTGATCTTCCTCTGGTTGATGTAGAGGTGTACCAATGCTAGGTATGCTAAATCCAGGACTAGGAAGCATCTGATCCATTTTGAATATTAATAAAGATATCTGTACATGCAACTATCTATGATGAATCTTATTTGGAAGTATACTAAAGTCCTGGAGGTTATAGTTGCATTTCCATAAAATATTTGATATTTTACTTCAATCAGTAACTATATCGTAACCTGAAACATAGATTATTAGCTTTTAAGTGATCTTTACTTTTTATTTGAACAAACCTTGCATCTCTGATGCAAGGTTTTCATACTTTCTAATCATGAAAAATTTGTTTAAACAAGATTGTACTTTTGAAAATTTTAGTATTGTCTTATTCAAAATGAAAGATCTGATTTTAATTATTTCACATACATTATACTATAAAATATTAATTATTCGAAACTCACTTTGCTCGGCGACAGCTTTAAAATTTATTCAATATATAAATTGTACGTTTATAGTTTGCGTGCTTATCTTCAGTAACTGACAATATTGTTCGCGATGATCGCCGTGTTATGTTAAATATAAAAAACTTATCGCTTCTTTAACAGAAAAAATATTTTTCTCTTACATATTTAAACTTTGTGTCTTATTAATTTTAAAAAAGTCGCTAATTACTTTTAGTTTAATCGAAACAACGTTTTGTTGTGTTTATTTACAACCGTCACTGGTTTACTTTTAAGGCCATGACGCATGAAAAAGTTGTAGTAAGGTCATAATTAAAAGTGTTTTGATCCACTGTGTTGATTGGCTGGAAAATATAACTAGGAATCGTAAAGCAAGTTTACATGATGTTTCTTCTGGTATTAAAATTCCCTAGAAGAAACTCTTGATTACATATACATAACTTAAAAGTAGCAAGATATCTTAATCTCACGTTTGTCAACAAAATTATTTACTTGTACGAGAAACTCTTAAAAAAAAAAAAAATTATTTAACTTTCTACAATTAACAGTGAATTGTTGAAATTTTATCATGTGCTACAAGAAAAGGTATCAAAAATAAATATATTTTAATCGATATTCAAAACATGTAACGCGACGTTATCAGATTTAATGAAGCTAATATCGTTATCGTTCTGATATTTAAATTAATAAATAAACAACGTATCGTTTAATCTATGCAAAACGTTTAAAAAATAGATAAAATGAACCTCGATAAGCTCATCCGGAGAAAGGAACACGCTAAGCGAGTCCATGATCTCCATCAGCTGGCCGAAATCACGAAGAATCTCGGTGACATGTATTTCGAAAGTGAGCAACCGACGAAGGCTCTGCAGGAATATACGGAGCAGTTAAACATTTGCAAAAATTTGCAGGACAAGTTGAATTCGGCGATCGCGCACAGAATGATCGGGGAGGTTCACGCGAGCTTGGGAGATTACGAGCGAGCTCTGATACACCAGAATCTGCATCTGGAAGGTGCCAGGGATATGAAGAACTTGATAGAGGAGCAACGCGCCTTCGCCACCCTGGGTAGAACTTACTTCTGTCTGGCCGAAAGTCTGAGCGATCATTCACAGAAGCGCGACGAGGCTCTGGTTAATGCTAAACAGGCTTACGTCAACAGTATGGAACTGTGCGACAAGTTGGCAGGAGATGAAATTAGGCTGCAGGAGAGGACACTGATGCAGGCGAGACTTCTACTGAATTTGGGACTGACATTGGAGGCGCAAAAGGAGACTCGACAAGCTATTAATCTGATTGAGCAAGCAACCGAGCTGTGTGTATCCAACAATTTTCAGGAAGACTTACATCGCACTTGTATTTCTTTGGCAGCTATATATGAGCGACAAGGCAATCACGAGTTGGTGTTAAATTATATTGAAAGAGCAGCCACTGTGCAGGACATAGGTCTGAAAGCTGAGGCGAAAGTAATCAAGGCTGAATTCTTCATGCGAACTGGAAGGTGGATTGAAACCCGCAAGATATTAATTGCTCTGTATAAGAGTAGCGGATTACCAAAGGACATCAAGCATCAAGTGGAGAAATATTTAAGGATCATCGTAACTCTATGTAGGGCGGAGAATAATCTTCTTATCGAGACTGACGTTAGAGTTAAGCAAAAATTATACGAAACTCTAGGCGACGCGGCTGTCGCCGCGCAATCTTTCGACAAAGGTGCGGAATATTATCGACATATGTTGACCTGCGCAGAGGAAACGAACGACCAAGTGAGCATTTCCTTGATAAGTCTCGCTCAAACGCTCAAGGATGCAGGACGATACAAGGAAGCGATACCTTTCGCGCGAAGGGAACTCGAACTCTGCACCGATCCTCGGGAGAAATGTAGATCGGCTCTGTTTCTAGCAGACCTATTAATATCAGCGAAGGCTCCTGACTTCGAAATTCGAGAGTGTTATATTTTGGCGTCGAGTTCAGCGAGCGAAAGCGAACGTGTCAAGCTGCAAAGATCTGCAATGAGAGACTTCATCAGTTACCTGGAGAACATGAATCAATTCGACGAGGCGAGGGATATAAAACAGAGAGCAGGATTAACATCGGATTCGAGCGATACGGAAAGCGAAGCCGCGTCCTTGGAAAGCGACGAGATTGGCGCCGACATCTGTCTGGAGGAGTTGTCCGATCTTGAAGCCGAAGAAGATGTCAAGAGGACGACTAGGAGGCCGAGAACGGGAATGTCTATGATGAAAAGGAACGCGAAGGGCGAAACGCAGTTGCACGTGGCGTGCATTAACGGCGACCTCGATTCCGTCGAGAAACTCTTGTCTTCTGGTCACTCGACGAATGTTAGAGATCACTGCGGCTGGTCCCCTCTTCACGAAGCTGCGAATCATGGCTACGTGGACATCGCAGAACTGCTCCTGAAACACGGCGCGAATGTTAACGACCCGGGTGGCATGTCCTGCAAAGGTATAACACCGCTTCACGATGCTGCCTGTTGCGGACACTTTTCGATGATGCAGCTGCTGATGCAATACGGCGCCAATGTGAAGCTGAAGACTTACGACGGCGACACAGTGCTGGACTGTTTGGAAGATTGGAGAGATCGCGTGGGAAACTTGAGTTCTGAGGATTTGACGGAGTACAACATGATGTATAAGAAGCTTTCCGCTGTTATTTCGGTGAAGAACAAGCGGAAGAGATCCGACAATGCTCAGACGTCGGATGAAGAACCTACGCGATCTCCGAATAAAGAGTCCGAGAAGAAGATATCTGCCGGTGAAGATTATAAAAGAACGATAGCGAATCTGAGAACTTTCAACAAGACTAACGCGGTTGTCGCATCATTTAAAGGTAACGACGCGCCTCTGGTGAATGAAACACAGGTTCTCATCGACGACTGGCTGGATGATGATATTGGAAATAGAACGAAGAAGAGATCGTCCACGTCAAATAATCGTCACACTGTAGCAGGCAAGAGAAAGTCCGTTGAAAGTACAGAGAGCACTACGAAGAAATTCAAGCTGAACCGTACACTTGAAGATGATGAATATCTAAGCATAAGCGATGAAGACAGCGTTGAAGAGGACGAAGATAACGCTAGTGTTGAGATGATTCAATTATCTGAAGAACCCAAGAGGATTAGGAAAAAACGACAGACTTCTTTGGTTTCGAAGGGATTCATCATGTCTCGATCATCGTCTCCGATCATTCACGAATTGCAATCATCTCCGCGTACCTCGACAGTTTCCGAACAGCAGCAGGACGCAGAATACGTACGTTTACGTATATCCGTCAAGGAAGATACGTTCGACGTAAAGGTGGCAGTTTGCGAGGACGAGAAAGAGTTTCTCGCGCGCATCACAACTGCTGTTGAATCCATGTTCTTCCGCGAAACCGTTTGTACAATCAAATTGCAATTGCAACCGATAAACGGGGAGGTCGTGACAAAGGAGAGAATCTTGAAAGTCGAGGAAAACGCTAGACTGGAATGCGAGATAGTTGAACTGAGGATTCCGTCCATCGTCGAGCGATACAAGACTATTTGTCAAATTCACAATTCGACACCTCGCGAGAACATGCTGAGCTGTTTGAAGTCTTGCGAAAACACGTCCATATTTCGCACGAGGCCAGACGATATCACTAAAGAGCTGATCGCACCGTTGTTGAAAACCTTGGAATACGAGAAGAAGGTGACGTTGTTGCAGCTGTCAGGCATCGCCCTAGGAATGACAGGAACGTCTTTGCACCGGTGTCTCTCGAATCTCTCGTCTTTGCAGGAACTCTATTTGAAGGGTTGCGACATCGACTTTGCCTGTCTACGTCAAGTGACCTCGTTGCCATCTCAGTTGAGAGTTCTTGATCTAAGTTATAATCCCTTGGGTTTCGAGAGTCATAACATCCTCAGAGGACTAATCGCACCCTTGAAATACCTGCGGACACTCAATTTATGCTACTGCAAACTGGAAGACTTAAATCTTTCGCTCGACAATCCTAATCTGACGAGTTGCGATATTTCCTGGAATAAATTAAGTCGCGACGGGATTATTTACTTTTTGAATAAACAATTGCTCGATTTGAATCTATCCAATATCACTTGCTCTGACAAATTCGTCTCCAGTTTAATCGCAGACACGACTTTGTCATCGAACTTGGAATCGCTGGAACTTTCGTTCTGTGACATAACAGACTCCGATGTAAAGATCATTATAGCACGCTTACCTAAACTCCTGAAATTAATACTTCGCGGAAATGCAAATGTAACTGTATTATCTATAAATGTATTGCTGAGTCGTCGGCCTACATTGACTTATATCGATGTTAGTGGCTGTAAAAATATTGCGAGCAGTCCGGAAGAGGAATTAATTATACAAAATCCCGAGATTTGTACATTACTGGCTAACATAGAGCCTAATTTATGTGATTTGTGGATTAAACTATGGCGCGGTGCAGGTATTGTAACAAAATTGCCTCATAACTTAGCAATCTTTAAACCAATAAAACTTTTTGGCGAAAATAATCTTAAAGTTTAAAAAATGTTTGATGTTATACAATATAAAGTTCGATAAATTTTTATATGTATCTATATAAATATATATAAGTTTGTACATTTTGTATATATATAAAATTTATAATTTTATATCTAATGTATGGAAAATTAAAAAAAATTTTACAAGTATCTTTTAAAGAATAAAAATTTTATCTCGTATAAATGTAATATTTATATGCAGCACAATACTTTTAAAATAAAATATTACTTGTTATATAAAAATAGAATTTTAGAAATCTGTCAAAAATATCTATAATATTTCCTTATTTTTACTTCTTGGATTAGCTTTCATTCTCGTTTTCAATCATTTCTATCAGAAAGATTTATTAAAATAGCTTCCATAAAAAAAGTAAAATAAACGAGTCTGTTATTTTACTTAATGACAGCGGTCAATCTCGAGTATATATGAAACAAGAAATTAAATCGAAAAGAATGATTAAATGATCATTTACCTTTATTAGTGATAAATAAGGCTATATACTCTTCTAAAATATATTTTGTAGTTCAATTTATTTCAGTTCAAAGGAATAACATTTATTCCCAATTTTGCATTGTATCTCCTTGACGTGTACATAAGCATCTTCCACATTTTCTGCCAAAAATTTATTTAAACTGCAAGTAAGGGATGGCAGAAATTTTTCAAATGCATTTGCTGGTCTCCAAGACACCAAAAGAAGCTAATGTGGTATGAAATATCCTGCAAAAGAAATATATTAATTAATACTTTATTTAAAAAAGTGGAGATGCAATTTTGTGTATACCTTATAAAATGATGGCAACTGATATTCAGCTAATAAACAGTCAATAGCTTCTGTTACGCACTTCAATGTACCATCCTCATCTTGACAGTAAATTCCAAGGAATGTGCGAGTTCTCTCTTCATTGCAGTATACTTTAACATCTGTGAGTTGTATGACAAATTGATGAAATCCACGACACAACAATTTCAAACCTTCCACAAATGATTCAATCCAATGAAACTTTAGGACCAAAGTACGACTGAGACTAATATGAAGACTAGAAATAATATCGCCTTGGACTGGCAGTTCATTCAATATAGATTTCATCCAGGTACGAAGGCAATCACTGACAGTATCTGAAATTAATTTGAGTTTTTACTACATTTCATTTGGAAAAATCTACTCAATTGTAACATATAATATTTTCCAAAACTATTTAACAAATATTATGTTGTTGATTCATTATAATTAATATCAATCTCATGTGTGGGAAATAAAATACTTACAATCTATGTAAACTAAAGTTGCCCAGTTACCACGTTCATGTTTAAAGCTCCGTATCCGTCCATAATGATCTGATGGATTGTCGATCACTTCTTCATCATTTGTAGCTCCTTTCAACGATAAAATACTTGCAGGTAAAGCTAGCCTAGTTCAAAATATATATGAAATGATACATGATATTTGAAATAAATATATTTTTCTTTTTGAAATTATGAATAACTTTCTCTAATCTAATCTATTTAATTGTTTTCTAGAGCTATAGTTATGTCAGCATATATAAAAACAATTTTATTTTTAATTTATATAAAATCAAGTGTTATCAGCTTTTAATTTCTGCAAATTCAAAGAGCTATATAATTTTCAGATTGTTTTAGGATTATTTCGGGATAATCAAGAATAAAACACTTCTAAGAACAGTCAAAATTTACAAAATATTAAATAATTTAAAATAATAAATATATAATTTATATACTTGTTTACAATTTTATCGTCTTCTTCTTTCTCTACAGCGCATTTATCTTCGTCCGAGTCGGAGGAATATGTTTGTATTAAATGCAAACCAGCCATCTCTCTTTTTATATATAATTTTTATATCCAACATCAATCGCACATATTTATCATCATTTCTATCATAAAATATAAAAATCCATACAGCTGGGCAATCAGCTGATAGAAGCGCTTGCTTTTTAACTTTAGCTAGCAATATTTCAGGATTTAAGACGACAGATTTTTTTACTGAACACGCACGATTTATAATAAGATTTAATTAAAACACACAATCAAATCGATCAAAATAATCAGAATAATTAAATAATGCGCCATCAACACCACGCGCCGTCACCTTCCTCTCACCTCTGCGCCGCATTCCATTCTCCCCACTCCTCTACCCCACTCCACTCCCTCTAGCACAACTGCGCAGCGCGCTGCGCACCGCATTCCAGAGCTACTGCGTCGGCGACAAAATGGCGGATGATTGCGGTACTTTATTGTTCATCTAGTGACTTTACAAAAATAATTATCGTCAGCGCATCTATTAGTTTGTACGCGTCTATGGTTTGACGTGTTGCGCGCGCATCATGTCAATGACATATCATGTCGGTTTTGTTTTGCATTGCGCAGTTAAAGGATAAACGGCACGAAGATTGAGTCCTTCGTTGCGGCTCTACCACCGGCTCTCAAGGCGTACCTGACGTACGGGCTCGCCCGCTGGGCTGTCCCGGTCCAAGAGAGCGGAGAAATGTCAATACGGACGGCGGTCCATCGTCTCGTGCAAAATGGTCGCGTCATACTGCGCTCATTACGGAATAACGAGCGCTTCCACTCGAGAGGATACGTGGACAAGCATCCCGACAAGATACACGTTGCGCAGACAGGTAAAATTACATCTTACATCTGACGTTTCGTCAAGGATCTCTTCGTCGAGTTGTAAATTATCTTTAGGACGACGAGGATGAACAGCGCATCGAGTTTAGAAAACACAATCAGCTGTTTTACTTATCAAAGAATTCGGTCGTTACTTCGATTTAATTTGTAAATATTTGTAAATATTTTGCGTAAATGTTTAGCGGGCGAAATGTCAAATTCATGGTGATGATTTCATGTTTGACGTTTGTAATAGGCGGGTCCCAGAATGGCGGGTTTCCTTGCCAGAACAGCCAAAATGCGTGGAGTACGGGGAGGCATCTCGGTTACTTGGGGACGCACGCCCGACGTATCTTCGTCGACAATATCTTGAAGAGAGTGACCAACAGTCTCGCAGCTGATTTACGAAGACGTGCGGCTAGCAGGCTCGTCTTCGGCGATTCCGCACCATTTTTCGCTCTCGTTGGTGTATCATTGGCGTCAGGTACAGGGATATTGACCAAGGATGACGAGTTGGAAGGAGTGTGCTGGGAAATTCGGGTAAGTAAATGTATTTTAGGTAAAAGTTAATTTATTTTAGGATAGATACTTAAATGAGATTTAATCTGAATATGTAATTTGACTTGAAATACTGATATGTTGCAGGAAGCAGTTTCAAAGATACGATGGAACACTCCGCAGAATGATAAAGATTATCAAATTATTCCTGTCAACGAGAACGCTGTGAGCTTACAAGATTTCATGATTGGACCTATCATTGCTAAGGGTTGCTCTGCTGCTGTGTATGCAGCACAATTTGTTGATGCTGCACGAGATGAAACGAACGAACCAAAAAATATCGACGAAGAGACGAAAGACGTGACTGTGTTTCCATTAGCCATAAAAATGATGTTCAATTACGATGCAGAATCTAATGCAGCTGCTATTCTGAGAGCCATGTATAGGGAGACAGTGCCTGCTAGAAGACACTATGGGAATGACGAATTGGCTATTTGGGAGCAAAGACTGGCTGAGAATACAATGACGTTGCCTCCTCATCCAAACATTGTAGCAATGCATTACATCTTTGCTGATAGAATACCGATGCTACCTGGTTCGTGGGGAATGTATCCTGATGCTTTGCCAACTAGAATCAATCCTCATGGATCGGGCAGGAATATGAGTTTGTTTTTGGTGATGAAAAGGTGCATCAGATAGATGTGCAAAGTGTATGAAATTACGAGCGCAATTCTATCTTGTTTAATATTAATGAATTCATACACTTTGCACATTCATCTAACGCATATCATATATCGGTTTTAGATATGATGTCACCTTGAAACAATATATGGCAAATCGAAACGTCGATACACGAGTGTCAATACTGCTGTTTGCTCAATTACTGGAAGCAGTAGCTCATATGAGTGCAAACGGTGTGGCGCATCGGTAAGATTTTGATTACATTATTAATTTTATATTTACATTACGACATTCTATATAGATCAATTTATTTTTTTTTTGTTTACGAATTAGAGATCTGAAAACTGACAACATCCTACTCGATCTGTCAGAAGAATCTGATAATTGTCCATCCTTGGTCGTAACGGATTTTGGCTGTTGTTTAGCCAATAAGAATCACGGGTTGTATCTACCTTACAACACTTACGACATTGATAAAGGTGGCAATGTTGCATTAATGGCTCCAGAAGTGATAACGGCAGAACCCGGTCCCTTTACCAGTATAAATTACACCAAGGCTGATCTGTGGACAGCAGGTACCATTGCGTACGAAATATTCGGGATGCAGAATCCATTTCACGGCGATAAAGGCGAGAAAGCTGCTCTAAACAATTACAATTATACGGAGGACGAGCTTCCCGCTTTACCGGATAATCTGCCTCCGATTATCAATGCTGTTGTAAAGAATTCTTTATTGAGGAATGTATATAAGGTTTGTGAAAGAGATGACTTAATTATTAAAAATTATTTTGTTTTAAATAAAATTATTTTAGTTTTATTTTATTTTTATTATATATTATAAACATTATATATATATATATATATATATATATATATATATAAATATATAAATAAAATGTGTGTACTTTTATTACATTTATTAACTCTTGAAATTAAGAGAATCTGAATTAAAACTTTTTTTCTTAATACAGCGACTTGACATTGAATTGGCAGTAACGATAATACAACTGTATCTTTGGGCACCTAGTTCTTGGCTGAAAAAAGAGGGATATTTACCGTCGAGCAACGAGGTAAGCAGCGAGTAAGTAATATCAATAATCAAACTGTTTAATATAATAATTTGTCATGCACACACATAGATTATGCAATGGCTTTTGTGCTTGACCACAAAAGTTCTTTGCGAAGGACGGAACGCAGATTTGTCTCCATCGCATGGATCACTCTTCGTTGATATAAAGCACGATGTCGATAGACGTTCAGCTTATAAACGAACGCTTTCCACGCGTTCTTGTGGAAGGCGCACAATGCCGGAATATCAGTTGATTGCAAGCTTCCTAGTAGGGTAACGCTCGCTAATATTAGAAACGCATTAAAGTGGATGCAACGAAATAATTGAGGTGATAGTATAGTATTTAAAAAATATGATCGAAGCTTTACTAACGGAAAGTTATTCGTCCTTGACATAATTGAGCAGTAGCATAGTTCAAAATAACATCGTGTAACTCGACAAATTCAAAATGGTCTTACCCTACAATTTTTCCTATTTGTTTCTCTCTTGAAAGATTATTGCTATTGTTATTTACATATTTAATTTCCAGTACTTTGTTTTGATACTTAAGAAGCACAAAAGGGCGAAAGAGCAGTTTCGAAATGTAAAAATGTAATACAAATGTAGAATTTTTTATTTTGAAATTGGCGATTTTTAAAAAGCGCACCGAGCATGAGCCCTTTTGTGATTCCAGTGCCTTGATATTTGAAGAATAAATTTGTAAATTATTTTTATTTGTATAAATTTAATTTGTGTATCGTTTTATATTTATTTGGTGGGCTATAATTATTAGTACATATATGAGAAAATGGAGATTACAAATGTGTATAATCGAATGTGTGTCAAATGCTCGAGCATCACACTTCGAGACTTTAAAACTGTTTGCCAATAAGGCCAAAAATTTAAAGTGCACAACGTTAAAAAATATTATCTGCACATGGTGTACAATATTTTGATAATTCAAAACTTTTATTTATTTTTTTCTTATTTATCTCTATTTATTCTTGTGTTTTCTGTCAAATGCGCCATTAGGAGAACTTGCAGTTGTACTTCCACCAAATTTCTCAAGAAACGAGGTAAGAGTTCCTCAGGTAGATTCGATAAAATATCAATTTCTAAATGTGTGAGGTTTTAACATGAATACACATTGTCAACAAACTTACGTGTACATATGGATGCAAAATAAAGCTTGTAAATAGTCAGTTTCATCGATGTTTAAATTTTAACATCGATATACCTTATGTCGTCTTTGTATCCTCATGGACCTTAAGTTTAGGCTTGCCGGATGTTTGCATCCGGTGCTTCATATTCTCGAAATCTAAATTGTACGACGTAGCCAGATCTTGTAGATAAGTCAGATATTCGTCATATGATAAAGCGCGTTTACGAAATTTGAAAAAAGCAAGGCCTGTGTTCGTGGTCGTTAATTTAATCATATCCAATATACCTGCGGACATCAACCACTTATTGCTTTGCGAAAGAGGAATGAGTAACACATCCATACTTCGGGAAACAGGATCCATGTTGCAATATGCTATGCAATAATTATTTTTATAATTATAAACTATGTATATAAAAAAGATTGAAACCTGGATGAATAATTTTGAAAATACCTGCAAACATCTCTTCTAACGGTACAATTTCCTTATCATTTTTTTTAGGTACACCATTCATGGTAGTAATGATGGTATTTATAACAATTTGAGCATTGTTTCGATGAATACTATCGATAGGTATCAAATGATTAATTTACATGAATATAATCGCTTTCAAAACAACATTGATCAAAGAAATGAAATTCGCAAATAGGAACTGCTAATAGTATGTTTTATAATCTGTTTTGAAAAACACTTCTTATAAAATTTATATTACTTGTATTAATTTAAATGTCATATTTTGATTCTCATGTTGCTTACAGATAAAAAGAAAACCTGCTTAAATATCTTTGAATAAAAAAAAACAATTAAAATTAGAGATTACAATGATACATAAATTCTGACATTAAAAACTTATTTATTTTATTTTTAAAATATAAAAACACTTCCAATATTCATTTATTGGATGCCTTATAATAATTATAAAATTAAATCGTATATTGTTTAAAAGTTATTTAAAAATTACGTATTTAGAATGTACATATAGCGAAAAATAATATAGTGTAACTAATATAAGAATTTAAATAATTAAAAAGAGTAAATAGATATAAAACCGGAAGAAAAGATAAATGAAATCAGAGGAAGTATATATTGGAAAAAGAAAAAAAACTTTTAGAACTTGTATTGAAATTAATTATCAAATAAGTAGTCATTTCTTTAGACAGTAAACATTAATAATTATTATATGTAATAGAAAATGAGAACCATATATTTATATATTTCTGATTCTAATTTTATTCATATAATTTTATTTATATATTCTGATTATGAAAGAATTGCAAAGAATAAATTTAATAAATATAAAGTTAATTCTCTTTTAAACGTCATATATTTAAAAAGAAAATTTAAAATAAAATTATTTAATTTTGATTGTAAACAATTATGATAGAGTGTAAGAAAAATATAAGTTTAAAAAAATTAGTAATTATTATATATAGAAATTACAGTTCAGTCTTATAATACCACAAATGTTATTTATCTATACCATAAGTTTCGGAATATCTTCAATGTTATTTATCTATACGAAAGTTTCAGAATATCTTCAAAGTTTAGTAAAATTTGATTCGTCAATGAGATATCTCTCCTTGCAAACATACATTATAAATGCGCGACGCTGGAATCGGTCGCAAAATCAAACGCACTGTCATAATTTAAAATTATATCCTTGAATTCTTTCAATCTGACAATAGCGCGTTTATGTACTTTTAAATTCTTCTTTTTATATCTCACTGCCGTGATCATTTTGTCCAAAGTATAATGTAACCATAAGATATTCGTGTACGGTTCGTACTTATTCCAATTATTCCTGTACGTATTAGTAAAACGAAAATAAATAAATTATTTATTTTGGGGACGAGGAAGGAAATGGCGCTAAATAAGATAACGTATATGTAAACTCACTGAATTTTCTCGCGCATTAGACGATAAATATCAAATTGATATTCGCCGTGTGCGGTAAATAAGGCTGGATCCAATGCAAGATCGTTGTATATGCAGCATCCTTGATACAACATTCTCGATAGAGTAAAATCTATGATCGATACCTTGAGGGAAAAAAGAATCCAGGATTATATCGTGAGAACTGATAACAGAATTATGTTTCCAGATAGAATATTACCTTTACACCTTTGCTAGGCAGTTTGATCTCTTTCCCGTCAATATTATAACACACATATGGTTCCTTTGTACTCGATATCAATACATTACCCCAGTGCAAATCTCTGTGTTCAAATTCGAGTGCCTTCTCGGCAACTGCTAATGCTGATGCAGTCTATAAAAAAAAAGAATTCGAACGGATGAATAATTGACGATTAAATATAATCAAAAAGTTAGATAAACTGGTCTGACTTGTAAAAATAAAGCGCAAGCTTCCTCTGCAGTTTGAAAGACAAAAGCTTCGAGATCTTCTCCACCATCGCCGAGTTCGAGAGCGATGTACAATTGATTCTCATCAAATATCGATGGACAATCATTGTCGGATGTCTTGTTGTCGTCGTAAGTTTTCCACAGTTCTATGAGCTTTTCCGGATATTTTCCTTCAATACATTTGATACTTCGTACTTCGACAAATCCGCTAGTTTTGTACGTAGTATTTAATCTCAGATTATCCAATTCCCTATTAACATTTTTTCGACATATAATAGTATTCGATGATCTTTATTGGTAATTTATCATAGATTATATCCACAAACTTACTTCGTAATCACAATTTCAGACAGTATCTCATGGAATTTTTTCTGCGGTTCGCCATTGATCAACTTTTCACCCTCTATAGGGATAATTTTTATAACCGATCTTTTATCAAGGCGTTCATAAAGAAAGACCTCTCCGTAAACGCCTTCACCAATTTTGCGGCAATGTTCTAAGTATCTGTAGAAATAAAACGACATTAATCGATATCTATAGAAACATATATAAAGGATTGCGTTAAATAATAATTTACGTACGAATCCGGAAAACAATAGGAAAAAGATAAGTAAGAGGTTTGCGAACATCTTTGTAAGACGACGTCCCTCGCAGTTGTAGAATGCCATCTGATAATTCGACTATCACGTGTCGGTGATTCCTTACAAGCTATAAATATTTATTTATTTGATAAAAAAACATTCACATATGAAATACATTAAACTGAATTTAAAAAATGCTCACGCGATAGTTCAAAGTCCGGAGATTCTTCTGACTTTATCCCAAATGCCTCAAGAAACGAAGTGTCTTCTATCTTGCATCTAGTAGTATTATTAGGCACGACTCGCACCGAGATCCTCTTGGAAAATCTAACATGGTTGGTCGAATTGAATGTTTTACGTTTGTCATCGTCGAACGACGATACGATACTCGATGTATCAAGCTCTGTGGACAGATCCGCGTCATCCTTTTCTTTTTTCAAGCAGCTTTGGAAAATTCCTGTACACAATAATCACAATTTTTTTACAATTTTAATTGTCGACTGCAATAAATATTACCTAATTTGCAAATATTGCAAAAGCCTACCCATTTACCAAACACAAATTAAATACAAGTGTGAAGAATCTCTTTATATTCGTTCAATCTCATTTCATTTTATCAAAATACGCTCGAAATCTCTCCCGTCACTTCGCACTTAAAATATAATAGAAAAGAAAAAATATAATGTTAAGAATGAATATAATTAAATATTAAAAAATCATATAAGAAATCATATAAGAACAACGTTTGTAATATATTAATCTTGGTTAGTGCTTCCTAAGAATTCTGTTCAATATATAAATTGCCTTCAGTTGTTTTATGCAAATAAAAAATAGAAATGTTACTGTGTAACAAACTTACTTATTCAACTTTACTATGAAAATTTGCATGTAATAAGTAGCATTTGCTTCTAATAATTTTATCGTAATAACTTCTGATAATTTCCGTACATCTTTAGGCTCTTATCGTCAAAGTTATCTCTCGGTGCTGAATTACCTTGCTTCTGCATGTCCAGTATATCTCTGACACTATGTCTCCATCTCTTTCCTTTTCCGCAGCTCAATTTGTTCAAATCAGATCCATCGTTTATGTGATTTAATATCGACAAAGATCTAGCCCAATGCTTGCCTGGTTTTAGAAAAACATGCTTTTCAACTTGTTTATTTGCATCATCGTTCAATTGAGTGGTATAGTCCAGCAATTCGACATGATCGAGGGGTTTCTTTATCGCATGCTTGGAATGCTCGAAATTATTTATCCCCAATTTATCGAAATTATTTATTCCCGATTTAATGTCGCGAATTTCAGCCAACATCTGACTCTTCGATTCTGCGGGTTTTTCATCGTCTGACTTTTCACAGATATTTGACTCAAAGCTCAAATTCCACTTGAGATACCGCATTCTTCTTCCCATAACTCTGATCGAATCCTGCAATCGTGCGAGCAACGAGTTGTTGATATTATTTTTATCTTCGCAGAGAAAGCTGTCTTTATCACTATTAGCAATTTCATTCTTTGAATTCTCATGAACACTGGTACTGATTTCTTCTTGCATCGCCCTGCCGTATTCTGGGTATGTGATATTATCTAAATCTTCGAAATCTTTCATCATAGATGTCTTGGAAGGTGACGCAGTCGTGATATTTCCATTATCGTTTATTCGGCACAAATCAACAGATGAATCCACAATGACGTCTGTTGATTTATTCGTCAAATGTGCCTTTTCTATTTTACATTCCTTTATATTCTTCGACGAGTAATCATGCTTTGTATCACTGAACAATGATTTATCAGAATCTGCGACAGAAAAGACGTTCAAAGAATGCGATAATGGGTCCAGTATCACTTTGCAATCCATGTTACACTTCTGCGTAAGCGCTGTATGAATGTTGTCCTGCGTAAATGCTGTATAAATGTCGTCCTGCGTAGGTGCTGTATGAATGTTCTCTTTCTCGGAGGAGGAAGAGGACGTCGTTTTGTTTAACACCGAAGATGCCAGAGTTTGCGTTTCTCGACATGACGAAATTTGCGTCGGATTTTCATATATATCCATAGCGTCAAAATTGCACTTTGATTGCATAATCAATGGAGAATTCTTTTGACCGGAAGGGACAATGTTGGAGAAATCCTCTTCTACGTTTGAAATCGAACATTCCAGTTTCTGCTGTAGCGTGTTGCGAGTGTTGATAGGGGAGATTGATGCCAAACAAGTGAAAGGTTTTATGTAATTTTTGCAAGGAGTGCTAGAAATTAAGTATCCCTTTTTTTCTTTACATACCATGCTGTCTTTTTTTACACATTCGTCTATTTTTAATCTTTCCATCTTTACGATGCTATCTTTTATTAATTCTCCTCTATTCCTTTTTATATCACATGGTACATTAGTATTACAAGAAGCAGATGAATTATAAAGAGTTGAGTGCGATATGTTTGACTTATTTTTTGTATCAACAGGATCATTTATACTTTCCTTAGTCTTTAATTTCTGATTCTTAATATTATCGTACAATGTTACAAAGCATTCTTTAATTGCCAAATCCTTAAAATTTTTAGTAGCATTATGTTCTTTGGAAATATCTTTTTCAGTGTGCAAAGTATCTGTACGTGAAAATTTTACATCAGAATGTGTACCTTGCATAGATCCCATAATTTTCTTACAACCCAATATATAATTTTGAACAATGCAAGCATCTAACTCAACAAAACATGGTTTGATATTTTGTTGGTAATTGGAAGTATATTTGAAAGCTGTAATAGAGATGTTAGTTTTAATTATTTCAGTTTTGTAATGTATTTTTAATCTTTAAAATATCTTTATGCAGATGCTTATTGTTATTGAGTGAAATACCATTTTTGTATGTATCCTCCAAACTATTTATATCACCAGAATTTGCATGGGATGTCTGTTCATTGTGATTAGACTTTTTGGACTTTGATTGCATTTTTTCTTTCTTATTTCTTTGTCTCTTCTGCTCCTATTTATTATTATGTATTATTAGTAAGAAATAATCAAATTATTTATTGCTAATGCATACCTGCTTTTTTGTTATCTGTATTTTATCTTTTGGCTTTACTGGTGACTTCTTATTTACTATTTCAGTATGAATCACCATTTTTGACTTGTTTCTTCGCGGTCTATTGCACTTACGAACAACTTTATTGCTCCTATTCATTAACTTCGATGTCACATGTGATGAGCTACATGTATTTAAGTCATTATATGTGAAAAGATTGAAAGCTTTCGTTAAGTTGACAACATCGCTATCACTACTGCTACTTTTCCATGAATTGTTTTCATTTGTGTCCAATGGCATAGGAGGCACTCTATAAATTAAAATATTAAAATTGAAAATTACATGTCTGAATTAAAATAAACACAAATTCAAGCATTTCAGTATGTTTAGGCATATTTGTTTTGATATTCAAAATTCTCTTACACTGCTCCTTTGGCAATTCTGTCGAATGTCGATTCGAATGGATCATTATTTAGGGATTCATTGCGTAGTCCACTTTCATCGAAGCAATTACTATACACAGGATTATACTTTTCAGTCAATACAACAGGAGATAGTAATGGATTTATATAAGGCTTCTTAGTAGCTTTTCTCTCATAAGTCCGAAGTGGTCGTTTACGATTTAACATCATGTCTCACCTGAAAATATTCGATCTTGGAAGTTATTCTGAACCAAAATACCAAAACGTTGACATACAATAGAGTTATAAACATTACGGATTTATCAACGAGGTTGAAAGAGCGATGAAAGTAATTTCTTCTTCTTCTTTGGCAAGTACGACTTTCGGCCATCAGCGGGTTTATAAGTAATTTAAATAAATGATAATACGTGGCACACTGATGACTTGTAAGTATGATTATTTTGTCGAAATGTTTTGAAACTGCTTCTCTTCCATTTTTCTTCAAGAATAATCCCGCCTGTTTCGAAAGAGCAACTCTGATCATTTTATTTTGCACTTTCTGCACCCTTTCTTTGTTCCCTCTATCTCTTTCTCTCTCATATACATCGTGGAACGAATTATAATGTTCGGAGAGAATTTTTAAAACTTCCAGCCAATAAGAATATTGTATGACAAATAAATTCCCTAGGAAAGCTCGCGTGCCATTGGCTGACCGATCTCTCCTAATAAAGGGCAAAATGTTACTCCTCGAATGAACATCTATTAATGTCTATAGTTTATGGCATAAGTTGAGTGACTTCGCGAGAAACAAACGGTCTGCGAACGATTTGACAGTTGAATTAGAAAACTTGTAATTAGAATGGCTTATGTAGATAATATGTTGCAGCCACAAGCAGCTGCTATTTCAGAAAATATGTTGCCGGACTGGCTGACTTCGGAGCAGAGCACCGGGGTAAGTTCTCGGCGATGATGATGAGGCGTTATTAGGTTATAATGACACTGCAAAGTTGTGACTTAGAAACGAGATATTTTTATTAAATCTATTTAAATTGATTATTTTAAACAATTAATTTGTATTTATTTACTATTTGGAGGTAAAAAATGATTGATTTTTCTTCTTGTCGATATTCAGGAATGCGTCTTTTGAAATATATGTATTTGCGATTTAATTTGAATTTCTCATAGAAAATTCGATAATTTTAATTTTTAAATTTAATTGTGGATACTTTATATGTGTTAATTGTGTAATAATATTTTTAATATGAGTATGGAAGAGAAAGTTTAGTTATTGTATATCAACAATATTACACATTACATATAAATGAAATAATTAACTCTAATGTTCTGTATTTATATTTTACACACATTAAAGTTTGTGCTTATGTACTTAACATAATTTTTATCTAACAAATTTTTTTATGAAGACTTACAAGAATGCAAAAATTTATTTAAAAATCTTGTAAATTATATTTGTAAAGATATTTGTAAAAAATATTAAAATATTGAAGAGGAATATTTGTAGAAAGTTATTATCTTTATATTTGCAAAAGGATAAAAGTAGATAAATACAGTCAAATGATACAACAAAGCTTTGTAGATATGGTGTACAAGTAAAATGCTACATTTAAACTTTCGTCATCAATGAGAGAGTCTGCTAAAAGATACTAGTTGCAAGATTCTGATAAGAAGAAATATGAGTCCATCACGTGATGTTATCTTGATTTGCAATTGTATACTGACTTGCAATTGTATATCTATTCGGTGCAATGTTTGATACCATTTTACAACTTATTTACAGACGTCAATCATGGCGTGTGAATTCGAAGGTGGTGTCGTAATAGGCGCCGATTCCCGGGGTACAACGGGGTAAAATATATTATTTATTCAACGAAATTATATTTATCGATATATTTCATAATTAATTTAAATTATTCCAGGGCTTATGTTTCCAATCGTTATGCTGACAAATTAACACGAGTAACTGATTACATTTACTGTTGTCGTTCCGGTTCGGCGGCAGACACTCAGGCAATTGCAGACATTGTAGCTTATCATCTAGGATTGCATCAGTAAGATCATGAGATCAATAAGTACTCATCGTACTTTATCGATATTTATGTATCGTTTTTTTCATATCAGAATGGAACTCGGAACGCAGCCCTTGGTGGAAACAGCCGCCAACGTGTTCCGCGAAATATGCTACAACTATCGAGACTCTCTGATGGCTGGAATCCTGGTGGCGGGATGGGATAAACAGAAGGGTGGTCAGGTTTACAGCATTCCCATAGGTGGTATGTGCGTCAGACAGCCGATCTCGATAGGTGGTTCCGGTTCGACGTACGTGTACGGCTACGTGGACGCGCAATATAAGCCCAAGATGTTGAAGGATGATTGTCTCAAGCTGGTGGAGAACAGTAAGTACATTGACAAAGTGTGTTGTCAAAGAAAATTCAATTCTTAATAGTAATCTCGACTTTTTATGCTTCTTTTGCAGCTCTCGCATTAGCCATGGCTCGTGACGGAAGTAGCGGCGGTGTCATAAGGACCGGAGTGATCACGGAAAAGGGAATCGAGAGGAAAGTCATATTGGGCAATGAATTGCCACGCTTCTACGAAGGATGAAGAATTATGTTATTGAGTGTTTGTTTGTGGCAAAATACGTTTAAGGTATTTCTAGAAATCTATACGTGAGATATGCACGCTCTGCATTTGCTAATTAAAATTAAAGAGAAAAACGTATGATTACGTTTATTTCTTGATTTTTCGATATTTATCCCGAAAATACGATACTTTGATCCTAAAATACTGACTTAAGAACACCTGATTATGATTCCAATTGATTGTGAAGGAGGATCTAAGTGGAAATTAGGAAATTGATTTCGCTTGGTCATTATTGTAAGATGCGACGATTCCGATCACGAGATCTCTACGTCGTTTCTGCGTGACACTGCATCCCCAATTTCGGTTCTATTAGATTTCACGTAATAAGACTCTCGTGTGGTGCTGAAATTATTGCCGATCCTCAATTTGACTAAACACGTATCCGTACCGCTAATGCTAAATTTAGGTCGTATTATCCACTTACGTTTCTCGGCAGTGGTGTATAAATGCGTCGGTCGGTCGTTTCGTACACCGTACTCGTTCATTGTTAGGCTTAATTAGAAGATTGTCGCAATGACACTATCATGACGTGTGTAATCGCGGCGCTGTGCAATTCTCTTTTTCACCCGGCTACGCTGTGATTCGCGTCAAGGTAGTCGTCTCTCGGCTTCCGCGATAGACTTGCCACTCTTACGCCAATCGTCCTTGTTAACTTGAGTGTGCTGTCTGGTGCCGGAAAGCGAAATTTGTTCTAATACCTGTAAACTTCTCGCATCTTTATATTATCTTCTCGCGTACTTAATTCGTAAAAAGTGAACTTAATCGTCTGAATGCTTTTTCAAATGTTGACCAAATTTTTATAAACGATTTTAACATTATCAATTATATAGATGATTAAATATAGCTGAATTCTTTCGCGATCTACCTCATTCTTCGTGTAGATGTAGACGATAGCGTGATCGTTCGCTGTTACTTCCACGACTTTAGTAAAACGCGTTTAAGCGTTAAAACGATACCTGACCTATCCACTCTGAAATTTTGGGAACGACATACGTTCCTTCCCTGCGAGTACTCTATTAGAGCGACGAGATTCCGTTTTGCAACAAGATGACTTCGGAGGGTACCTCGGATGATTTAGGCTTGGCTAATTGGGCGCCAGAAATGCCCACCGTACAAGAGATCGGTGAATCGATGCAGAATTTCGGTACACCGGATTACATCGTGTTCGCCGTGATGCTGATCGCCTGTGGCCTCGTCGGCATCTACTTTGGCTTCGTGAAGAAGTCCTCCGGCGAAGACGAGTACTTGGTTGGCGGAAGGAACATGAAGACGTTTCCGGTCAGCCTCAGCTTGATAGCAAGCTTTATTTCGGGTAGAACTATATTTTCGCATTCTACTAGTCATTTTCATGCAATTTTTCGTACATTATTCTGCGACAAGGAATTGTTAAAGATAAAGCTATAAAATATGAGTTTATATGTACGAAAAATGCACATTCACATATATATCTTGATATAAGTGAAAAGAAAAAGTTGGAAAAAATGTACATATAATAACTATTTCTATTTTGAATTTATTTCTATTTGTCAATCATTTTTTAATGAAGATAGACTGAGATATTTTTTTCAAGTTTTTGATTATGTGAGAAGAATAGTTTTTAAATAATACAATATTTATTTATTTGTAGTATTGCGTATGCCTATGTGGAAAGTTTCCATTAAATTGTTCTTTTTTTCATGAGACAAATCACATTTTCATTTGAGACGGTAACAAATCATAAGATTAGATAAGCAGGCAATTAAGTTGTAAATATCTTGTCACTTGTGCAAATGTTTTAAATATACGATAGGGAAACTACACATAATAGCAAATTGCGTATAATGTGAGACGGAATAATGTAAATATATATTTTTGGAAACGTAAAATGGAGATAAAAATTAAATAATTAAACAGCATGTGTAACATAATTAAAAAAAACATAGCGGAAATAATAATATCAATCTTTTTTGTAATTCGATTCGTAATCATTTTTCTATGTCGAGAGAAAAGAATTTAATTAATCTCTCTCTAATTGCTCACTAATTGTTTGAACAGGTATCTCGTTGCTGGGTACCCCAACGGAGATTTACGTGCACGGTACGAGTTACCTCTTTATCGGGGTCACGGTCATCGCTGTCGGTTTCGCCATATCCATCGTATTTCTGCCGGTTTTCCACGATCTTAAACTCACCAGCACGTACGAATATCTCGAGAAACGTTTTGACAGAAGAATGAGAGTGCTAGGCTCGGTCCTCTTCGCCATTGGTATCGTAAGTAAATCCATGAAAAACAAAATAGCACGTATATAAACACATTTTTTTCTTTTTTTTCCTTTTTTTTCGAAAGTAGGCACATCTCGAGCGATACAAATAATACACGATGTTCTTTCAGATGACTTGGCTTCCGATTGTCATCTACGTACCTGCATTGGCATTTAATCAAGGTTTGTCTTTCAAGCGGAAATTGAATTAGAAGTCGAGAAAATTTTAATCCTTTCTCATCTTCAAATTCGCGCTTTGTATATATTATTTGATCTCAATTAAGTAAATAGATTTAGAATCATGTGGCCTAAATCATACGTGAGAAATCATTCCCGATAAATTTATTTTCAGTTACGGGAGTGAACATACATATAATCACACCTTTCGTGTGCATCGTTTGCATATTCTACACTTGTGTGGTAAGTTAAACGAGATGTAAGAGAGAATTTCAAATAAAGGGATTATAAAATCCGAAACAAGCTCAGGTAATGACGCGAATATTTAATTTAAGACCGAGTATACCTGTGTTTGTTTTGTACATACATATTTTTTATTATAAACAAAATATATATTAGAATATTTTCAAATCATCAGATATTCTTTTAATAGCAGATTTTCTAATTAATCGATCAATGTCATTTTTTGCAAGTTCAATTTTTTCCACTATATATTTTTATAAGCATCGAGTTGAAATTCTATACTATAATAAACCATCTGATATTATTTGAAGAATGTAATTTTATCCTTTTAATTCTAATTTCTAAAGTTTACATAGTTTTTTTTTACATATAACTTTTTGATCTCAATTAAGTAAATTGACTCGATATTTTTTATTTAGCAACAATCATCTTTAAAATAATCAAAGAATCTGTTAAAAGGATATTCGGTTCGGAATGTTCTGTATGTATTTTAACTGAATTACATTTCACAATCAGATTAGATTGACTCATGTGATGGATTTTATTAATTAAGGAAATAACTTATTCAATATTATGCTCAAAAGATTTTTTTATTGCATTTAGGGTGGTCTCAAAGCGGTAGTGTGGACGGATTTCATTCAGACTTTCTTGATGTTCGGTTCCATGTTGTTAATTATAATTAAAGGCACAACCGACGTCGGTGGATTGTCCTTGGTGATTCGAAGAAATCTAGAATCCGGAAGACTCGAATTACCATCGTATGTGCATTTATTCAATGTTAATAATGCAGACATCCGTCTGCTGTTTCCATCATTCTGACATTTGAATAAGCGTAATTTTACATTTTAAAAAATGAAGATTAAGAACAGTCTTACAAATATTTTTTTAGAAACAGACGTATTTTTATTTTATAAAATAGATAATTGAAAATATATGTTAGAAGAAATTAAAAGTGCACTTTTTAGACTGGAAGAGAATTTAGAAACACTTTATTACTCTTTTAAATATCCAGGTGTTTTATTTTGTATAATTTTTTTGTGTGCGCTTTATATTTAAAAAAATGTCTTTGTTTAAAATTACGTTTTTGTATATTAAATATATTTAATATAATTTTTCTTCTGTGTTTTTTTAAATTGGAATTTCTAAATTTTTGATCTAAAGTATATGTTTTCATCTTGCTTAACAGAACAGATTGGAGCCCTTTGACGAGACACACGATTTGGGCGATCATGATAGGCGGTTTCGTACACTGGCTGCAAATCTCCGCTATCAATCAAAATATGATTCAACGATATTTGGCGCTCCCTACTTTGCAGTCAGCTAGAAGGTATTCTGCTCTTTCATAAATTAAAAAATAAATAATTTTTTACAAAAACAACAATAATGTATTTATCTATAATTATATTTAAATGTTAGTATTATATGACTCTTTTTGAGCTTTAAAAATAAATAAATTTATTTCATATGTCTTGCATGTTATCGATAATTATATACAACATGTAATAAGTATATAAATTAATTTCTACGCTTTTATAAATAAACATATAGCGCCGTTTTTGATAATTATGCATTTTAGAGCACTCTGGTGTTTTATAGTCGGAGTTATAATTTTGATTGGCTTGTGCGGATATTCCGGTCTACTGATTTATGCCTGGTATCACGAATGTGATCCACTCACGACAAAGGTAATGTTTATTTAATCCAAAACATTGAACATCAATTAATGTACATATGCATAATACAGCTAGCACGTGCCAAGGATCAATTGCTGCCACTGTTGGTCATGAACGTTTTAGGAGAGTTTCCAGGACTGCCCGGTCTCTTTGTGGCTGGCGTATTTAGTGCCGCACTCAGGTGACTCATATTTGCAATTAGTTAATTAAAATAAAATAGAGAAATTTGTATAATTATAATAAGAAAATATGAAAAGTCATAGTTACCCTTTATGTGTTTAAATGTATGTATATTTGAATTCAACTTTGTGATTGTCATATATATTCATATGTATATGAATGTATAAATATATATCTTTTTTAGTTCACTATCGACCGGTTTGAACTCCATGGCGGCAGTCGTACTGGAAGATTTTGTCAAGCCTTTCATCAAGACTCCATTTACACGTAGAGGTGCTGATATCTTTATGAAACTTACGGTCATCATTTTGGGCGTGATATGCGTCGCCCTCGTCTTCGTTGTCGAACAGGCGGGCAGTCACGTGTTGCAGGTAAACAGTTCAGAGAAGACTATCGAGTAATTTAGATGGATAATTTTTTCTCATACATTGTACATTAATTTTGTAGTTATCTATAAGCTTAGGCTCCATTACTAACGGACCATCTTTCGGCATTTTTGCTATGGGAATACTGTTACCATGGATTAATGGCAAGGTAAGTCTCTAGCAATAATTTTCCTTTAATTTAAATTAATAAACATTAGATATTCGGATTTGTTGATAAAAATAAGATAAAAACTCGTTTCAAATTTATCAGGGTGCTCTGGCCGGAGGACTCGCTGGTTTGAGCTTTATGGGTTGGCTCGGCCTTTCTGCCCAAACGGCTATCTCCAGTGGACAAATTAAGTTAGTGTTAAAATCATCATTGCACAAGGTGTTCTGAAAATCTCAAATATTTTTATTACTTTTTTAGTACTTTCCTGTTATATTATTTGATTTGCGAATTTTGAAACACCTTGCTTATAATACACTCATCGATGCTGTATATCATTATACATATCTTTATATATTTTTTCCTTTCAAAATACAACTACGTTTTTTTAGATTCGATGTGAAACCTGTTACTACAGAGGGATGCACTTATTCGTTTCCTCAGGCGGAGAATTTACTGCTATCTGTACCACCAGATTCAATTCTGGATGATGCAAATAAAGAGTAAGTTTTAAAGTGTCACTAAATTTAATTTTATCATATCAATTTTGCATAGATGGAGATAACTAGTAAAATGATTGTTTAATTTATTAAGATAAAAAACCGATTATATACATTTTATAATATATAGCTTTCATTTAATAGAGAACCATGGGCATTGTATCGGCTCAGTTATCTTTGGTATACTATGACTGGTACCATAGTGACTATAGGCGTTGGTCTCCTCGTAACTCTTGTTACCTCTCAAAATGTTGAAAAGTTAGATCCGATGCTCGTGGCTCCTTTTATGAGAAAATATATAAGCAGCAGGAGCAAAGATGTTGCACTCGAAGAGCTTCACCAAGTCAAGGTATTATATTTTAATTTTTAATTATTATATTTAATCAAATTATTTTATTATTTTTAACTAAATTTCTGTTAAATAAACACTATTTCGTTATTTTGTTTGCCAGTTTGCTTTCTGTTCGAATTTGCTGAAAATTTGCCAGCAACATATTGACAACATATTTGTTTACTATTGAGAATATGTATTTGCATCAATTTTATTAATTATTAAGATACTTTTATATTCATAGAATAATCTTTTAGTATATTAACATTAATATAAGATAATAATATATAACATTTTTTAATATATTAATATTAATATATTAAAGAATGTTAACATATTATTATCTCATATTAATGTTAATACTATTATTATTATATTAATAGTAATAAAATAATTTTTTAATATATTTTATTATTTGCATTAGATTGCAAACTCTGAGAAGAAAGAAAAGGTGGCATCTCGCACTATTAACGAAGATGATAAATTATTAGAAGCGACTACGACATGATACAATTGTATACAGTTAAGTTATAAAATTAATCATTATTAAAATTTTCGAATAAATTAAAAAAGATATTTGTTTTTTTTTTAGCATCGATTTGTGTTAGAGCCTAATGTAAGTTAGAATTAAACAGAAGCCTTGTACAAAGTTTATACATATAATATACTCCTGGTAATATTATATGTGCATTGTGAAAATTATATATTATAGGTTATTACGGATATTGTTTTTACTTAAGCATCCTGCAATAAATAATACTAATAGATTGTACAATATAATGATTTTACTAATTATTAATTAATTATTTTACATTATATTATATAATAATTAAAAAAAATAATATGTAAGAAATATAAATATTGAGATACATTATTCTATTCAGTATTTATCCAGATAAATAGAATTTTAGATTAATAAAAACAATCTCTTTTGATATGTCACTGAAAATCTTAATTATCATAGATATTTGTTAAATAAATATTAAATAATATAATAATATAGTTTTTTGTAGGAATTCTATTTCTGAATTAAATTTCGCATTTGTGTGATTGCACACAATTTTTAATTGGCACATTATAACATATGAATATAATATATACATTTATTGCTGCTTACATTTACTATTATTCCGATTCAACGGCGGACACCTAGACAATTGCTGACACTATACCTAGTTAATCACCTAGGATTGCATCAGTAAGATCAGAAGATCAATAAGTATAATCGTCATACTTCATCAATATCTATATACGTATCGTTTTTTTCATATCAGAATGGAGCTAGAATGCAGCCCTTGATGGAAACAACTGCCAATGTTTCCGCAAAATATGTTACAACTATTAAGACTCCCTGACTGAGATCCTGGTGACAGGATGGGATAAACAAAAGAGCTTCACCAAGTCAAGGTATTGTATTTTAATTTTTAATTTTATTATATTTTTAATTAAATTTTTTATTAATTTTTAACTAAATCATTATGCTTTAATATTATAAATTATTTAAATACTTTTTAATATAATTATATTAATAAGATTTACAATAAGACAATATATTAATATATAATATTCTCTTTAATACATTAATATTAATGTAATAATAATAAAAATATTATTTAATATACTTGATTTGTTATTTGCAGCAGATTGCAAACTCTAAGAAGAATGAAAAGGTGACATCTCGCACTGATATTGTTAATGAGGATGATCAATTATAGAAATAGCTTCGACATGCAGTTGTAATATACAGTTAAGTTATAAAACTAATCTTATTATTGAATTTTTGAATGTATTAAAAAATAGAGTGTGTTTTGATGATAACTATTTATGTTAGAACCTAATGTTAAGTTAGAATTCTATTCTTTATTACAAAATTTATACATATGATACTATATACTTCTGGTAGTGTTATATGTGCAGTGTGCAAATTATTATAGGTCATTATAAATATTGTTTTTCTTTATCTCCCTGCAATACAGAAGAAATAACAAACAGATTGCATAATATAACAATTTCATTATTTTTTTGTTTTACATTATATAAATATTTAAAAAATATGTAGAAAATATAAGATCATTTTATTTAGCATTTATTATCCAGATAAAAATAAGATTTTAAATTAGCAAAACAAATCTCTTGCTCGTTGAAAATGAAAAATTTAATTATCATATAGATATTTGTTAAATATTAAATATACGTATATATAATCTCTACAGTTTACAGGATTATTTCTGAATTAAAATTCGCGGTTGCGCTTGCGCGACTATCTTCAATTGGTAAATTATAACATACGAGTTACTACATCTATGTATAATGTATAATCAGTGACGTGTGTTTCGGCGGAACGGTTAACGATAGAAGAAAACATTTTCTCAGTTTGTGTCGATTAAAACGGTAAACGTATTGCAAGTGTGTTGATATCAATCATCGTGAAACAATCGTGATGACGGGTTTTATTATCGTCGCGTACTTTTACGACACGTTACGCAATCGTTCGTGACAGAACGCTTCGTAAGTCGCGTCCGCCATGAAGGTTATGTTTATCAATCCTTTTCGGCGATTCGATGTGCTTCGCGTATTTCTCTAATTTCGATGCAATAAAGCCAAGTGTCGTCGAACGTTTTCATTAAATAAATGTTTCTTGTCTGCAGTCGAGGATCAACGTAAATCCGGCGAAATGGCAGACGAAATGGAGAATGTCACTCAGGATTCTGGCGTAGATGGTGAGTGAGAGAGAAAAAGAGAGATTACATATGTAAATTTAATACGTCTATTATCATCTTAATGATATATTGCATTTCGCGCACATGGTGTCTCGCTATTTCAGACACGTGTGTTAATACGTCGATTTTTCTGTGCAGATATGGACCTCTGTGAAGTTAATCATTAACAGAGTTTTGGCTCTTCTCCAAAGAATTCTCGAGTTCTTGATAAGTTTCAAAAAGAACTCTCTTGATTAAATATAAGAAATAAGAGCCTCTAAAGATATGGAGTGTTAACTTCAAGTTTTTGCAATAAGAAAATTGATTATACTTTTTTTTTTATTTTGATAGGAATTGATTTGAGGAATATTTTTCAATAAAACTCTTGAAATGTTATTCAGAACTATACAAAAAAATTAAATTAAACAAATTTTAATTCTTGAAATAAAAAATAATGAAAACTCGATTTTATTAATTTGAACAAGAATATGAAGATTAATCAATAAAACATATTAAGAGCTCTAAAACTTTTTTTACGTAGAAATTCCCTAAAACTGTTAATTTTGAAATTCTAAAGATGAAATATTAACTTCATAGAGGTAGGATGATTTTAGAATAAGTAAAACAATGTAAGAGAAATTGAATATATTTATTGTATATTCAGTATATTATTCTTAATCTCTTTTATCTTGATTAGTAGAAAAGTGTTCTGTCACTTGCCAAGTGTAAAATATAAGAAAAATACATATATATATTACATTTATAATCTGGCTTTTACTCTGTAGCCGGCTTAAATTTAAATTTGTTTTACATCAGTGTGAGACACATCTTGTACTAATTTTTTAATCTTTATAGATATTATACTGTTGCGAATGATAAGTAAAAGAGTGATATATAAGATTTAAGAGTTTTTGAGAAATTTAGATGCAAGTAAAGCTACACTGTAAAAACATATGTAGAATCACATAAATAATGTAATTTTTATTTTTATGTAATACTTTACATAATTTTTTACAGTGTAATATTATGCAACTCAGTTTCCATTCCATATATATTCTCCCTAAATTTCTTGGAGTGAAAACTGAACAATCTCATTCCAAAAGAGTGGCATTTTACTCCAAAAGAATGAGATTCCACTCTTTTGGAGTAAAATTCCACTCTTTTGAAATGAGATTGTTCAGTTTTCACTTCAAGAAATTTAGAGAATTCTTTACGAATATGCTTGATATATGCAAATAGATACTTATGGATTTTTTGACAAACTATTATTACTATACTAGTATTGTCAATAGTTTTTTTTTCTTATTAATGAGACAGATATAAGAATTAATATCCGATTTCCTAATTCGAGGATTCGCTCTTATATGTACTATTGTACGTTGATATCACCCCGCGTGCGAAATTATTCTAAAATATATACTACTTATCTTCGACTTATCTTCTGCTTTTATGATACATACATGGTTTGATACACAGTCCGTTCTTGTCGCGGAAGTTGAACTTTGCAATCGTGCAGGTTTATCCTTTAAAGCGTATCTTTGGAATTTGTAAGAAAATATCTATGTAGAGAGAACGAATTTTGTTTCGTGTATGAGATTAAAAAATATTCAACGTTGTTGTACGTGCGAGTAGAAAGAACTCTTGTCGTTGTGGAAGACACGCTTCTCGCGTTCGCGAAGCGTAAATAAATATCTAGAGAGAGACTATAACGATGAGCCCTTTTATGTCGCCCACTCGGGGAATTCTGATAATTTGAATACGTATGTACCCCACGTGGAGAACGCCGCCACGGTGACGATGAGCGTGACTATGCTGGGCCCGATACCGGCGATTATAAAGTCTCTCGTTTTTATACGTCCAGCAGCGCTAGCGATCGCATTCGGTGGGGTTCCAACTGGCAAGTGAAACGAAAACGAGCAGCAAAGAGCTGCCGGCAGCATCAGGTACAGGGGATGTATTTTGATGGCCACACACTGAAAAAAATAGAGATTTTCTCGTCAAAATCATCTTTAACTTATGTCACTTAAAATGCGAAAATATTGAATGAATTTGTGATTTTTGTCCTCTTGCTATATCAAGATATTGTGCTAGCGCGAATTCTAATTATATATCACGATACAAAATAATATAATTATATATCTCACGATAAAAAATATTTATACAGAGAAAATTTTCTCTTAAAATTTACCCTGAAAATCATGGTAATCATGGAAGAAGATGGTATAAGAATTTCTCTGATTAATATTTACTACAATAAAAAATATTAATATCTACTACAATAAGATTTAAAATATGTTCGATTAATTTTACTATGTATACCCTATACATATTAATATTTTTTATTGCTATTAATATTTTAATCACAGAGAATCTCTTATACGATTCTTTCAATACCACGTTATCCCATAATTATCATGATTTTCAGAGTAAACTCTAATAGAAAATTCTCTCTATGTAATTATATATTAGATAAAAAATATATAATTACATGTCACGATAAAAAATACAAGAAAAAATGTAATACCTAATAAATATATATAAAATATTGCTGGAGAGAGAAAGGGGGCAAGAAATTTGTCATTAAAAAATATCGGTCTAGATATTTATGGATGTATACTTATATCTTTTAATTATGCTATTTGTCTCACCATTTCTGCTAATACTGGCAATATAATATTTGCAACGGCTACGTTAGCCGTCAATTCCGTCACGTTCTCGGCGAAGAGGCAGACGATCAGCAATATCGCCACCACGTTAATCTTCTGCAGACCGATCAAAGATTGACCGAGCATCGCCGATAAACCCGACGTAGTACTACCTGCAGAGATAGCGAATCCACCGCCTAACACGAATATCAGACTCCAATGCATTTTCTGGTTGATCATCTTCCACGTTATCAGGCCGGGTGACGGTTTCGTGGGTCGTTTATGTGGATCTTTATCAAACGCGCGCAGGAAATCGAGTTTCGACGGAATCATGAAGAATAATATCGTCACGAATATTGCCGCCGTGGAATCTTTGACAGCTCTACGAATTTTGAAAAAATCTTATTATTTTATATATGTATAATTTTTCTATTAATTTTTCTTCTTTCCCTCGTTTCATTATTTTTTTAAAATTATTTTTATTGCATTTTGGAGATTTTCTTAATAAGATCAAATTTGAGAAATTATAAAATTTATCTTTGAAATACGGAGAGAAAAAAGATTTAATTATTTTATGACTTTAATTAATAATTTCAGTAAATATATATGCATACATATATATTATATTTATATAAAATATGCATTTATATATATTTATATAAAATATTAATTAAAAAATCATATAAAATAATAAGAATTATTTGTTATTAATTCCTTGTTCTTCAGTTAGTTCGTGATAATGTGTAATAAAGTCTAATTTTAAGAAGACGAATATATTTTGTACTATAAGTGATACTCACAAACTCGTGATGTATTGGGCCCAACCCGGCATGAACCCGGGACTTCTGAAGAACCACAGGAGCACCACGAAAAGAAATAAAACACCCACCGAGGATTCGTGCCACGTGATCGGTCCGAGTTCCTTGTATTTCTTCTGAATGACTGCAGCCGCGACACGCTCACCTTGTTGACCGATGTCTATAGCGCGAGCATCCTTGCTCTCTGGTCTGAAGAGACCCATGTACATCACTTGCAACCACAACCACGTGAGGAAGCTCATTAGCAGCATGGGTGGCACTGAATACAGCATCCAAGAGGCGAAATTTATACCAGGGCTGTCGGGAAAACGTCTGGAAAAAAAATGAAAACGAATCATACATCGGTCTCTCGAAAGAGACAGGTTGCTAGATTTATTGCAATGCACCTACTTCTCCAGAAAGCCTTTCAACGTTAAATTTGTACCGCTACCCACAATGGTACCGATGCCACCTAGACTGGACGCATAAGCTGCGACGAGGTAGTACACCATAGTGCTATGCGTTGGCCTTTTATTTCTGAAAAACATAGCAGTCGGATGTAATATGTATGAGCACGTGGAGTTATTTTTTTTGCGAATTTTTAATATTAATATTCAGAAATTGAAAAATGATGAAAGAGAGAAGATGTGAATATATGACAATAATTATTTACGTCTCTGCATCCTCCTCTTCGGTCGCTCCGTCTTTCTGGATAAACATGTTCCCGAGTCCTTGCTGAAGTAAATTTATAAAATTATTTTCTGTTTTAATGAAAAATAAGTAAACAAATGGAAACTCACCGCTTCGAGTTCTACTAGAACCGTTTCCATTATGGGTATCATCATGGCTGTTGCGGCAGTGTTCGAAATCCACATCGAGAGAAACATTGTCACGAAGAACAGGCCCAACGTTAGCCTGGAAATTGATTAATTTAATTAATTAAAATTATAATTGATGTATTTATGTAAAAGATTGCATAAATTTTATATACGACATTTACGATATTTTATAATAGTTTTAATATTTCATATTGTCAAAAAACAAGTTTTACTAGTTAAGTGGGAAACCGAAAACAACTGATTTGATGAAATACCTTCGATGACTACAACCGATAGTCTTGATGATGAGTAACGCCACTCGCATGTGCAAACCGGAATTCTCGATTACCACCGCGATCACCAAACTGCCCAGAAACATCATCGTGGTGTCGTTCATGTAGCACAGGCAGGTGTCATTGGTGGACATGATGCCCATCAGCGGATACAGGACCACCGGGATCATGCCTGTGACGGGCAATGGTAGGACCTCGGTCACCCAAAACATCGCCATCAACGCAACGACGTATAAACATTTCATCGCGAGGAGCTACCTCCGGAAAAACGAAAGTGATTCTTTAACTCTTTCCGTTCTTTTCCGGTTCTAACAAATTATCATACACACGGAAAGAATTTTCTCTTAGAATTTACCTTCAAAATCATAGTCATCGTGGGATAATAAAAGGATTAATATTTCTCGCAAATAAAAAATATTAATACGTACATAGTATTTTACTATATACGTATATAATAAAATTAACTGAATATTTTATATCTTATTGTGGCAGATATTTTTAATATTTTTTATCCTACGATTACCATGATTTTCAGGGGTAAAATCTAAGAAAAAATTCTCTTCATGTACTAATTTGTACATGCGATTCTCTTTCTTCTTTAATATAATTTATGCTGCTTTATTTGTTTCATTTACGTTATTGAATTAATAGATTATTGCCACAATTAATTAACGCACCTGTTCATTCTCGATCGTCACTAGCGGGATCAAAATTAATGGCCATATTATCACGATGAAGGATCGCCAATAAATGGCTAGGAACTTTAATATTAATCTGCAGAGTCCAACATTTTTTCTAAAATTATAAAAAAATATTGAGCAACGAGACACACATTAGATATCAGAGATTAAACATTTCTTACCCTCTGTCTCTCTCCTTCCCTCCGGACTCAATAATCTCCGGATGCGGATCTTCCGATCTGGTTGTCATTATCTGTCACTGAAATTGAGTTGCAATAGCTTGAAAAGTGTTTTTAATACTTTTGTACGTATGTTCCGTCGCAGAATAATTCTTTTATAAAATATTGTCTTGTAAAATACCAAATTGAAATTCCGAAAAGATAAGAAAATATCCCCTTTCGTACTTGTTATTTTTAAGTCTGATTATAGAAAACCTTATACAAAATATTTAATATATAAAGTATTGTATGATAAACATATTGGAAAAGGTCAACAGTTTTTATCGAGATTTTACCAGTTTATTTACAAAAAGACAGTGTTATATGACAAAGCATCGAGTTTTATTTATTTATTTTTTTTATAAAAAAATTTTAAAAGAATTTGCAATATGTCGAATATTATTCTAATTTTATTGTTTTTTAATTCTAATTTTATATTTTTTATTGATTTTTAGAGTGATGGAAGATATATTTATATATACCTACACATTAATTTTAGATTTTCAAGAATGCTTCTAGATTATAAGAGTTTATATATATATATATATATATATATTAATTAATATTTTATCAAGTGCAAATTTTCCATGCTTGAAAAACCTGTGTGAATATATTTTTGATCTCTCGTAATATCTTACACTCTTAAAACGTTCGGCAATCAAAGAAATCCACATTGAAACGCACGACCCGGAACGACGTCGTATATATTATTATTGAACTAAATGGCGTAGGGTTAAACGACTATGAGAGAATCTGTGGATGGATGACAGTATCACCTCGATTAAACGCATAGACTAGGAAAGGGAGGGGGAGCATAACCGGTGTCGCATAAACGGAAACGATATCGTGGTTGCATACATATGCAAACATCGCGAAGGTCGTGAAAGAACAATGCCGCGAGGTCCTCGATCCGATTCGAGCCTTTTGTGGTTGAGCTCTTTATTGAATCGGCGTTATTATTGTGATTATTATCGGATAATTGAAAGCGGATAACGGAAAAATTATTAAACTGAAAAGAGACGTAAGAAAAAAAATTTTTAGATAACGTGAATAAAAGGGCGAGGATAGAAAAATATAATTAAAAACTTGAAGAAATCGAATTTTGGAAAGTAAATAAAGATGATTCTGTTTTCAATTTTTCTAGGTGAAAGATGAATTATAAAGGAATCTAATTTTATTTAATCTACTATTTTTTTTAGGAAGAATAATTAAAAAAAAAATATGTATAATATAATTAATATATATTCCTTCACATATTTATGATTTTTATTTCTTAAAAACAAAATACTTAAATATGCCATGTCATTTGACAGATGATTCTATATACCATATTTACAGCGATGTAGATTAAACTCGCTTTAAAAGAGTTTGAAGAAGATAACACTTCTTTTACATCTCAGATAAAGATGAAAATAATACATATATATAATGTTTTGATAATCTGAATAAAGAAGTGCTGAAGTAGTTACAGTATTTAATTAAATAATTGTTTAGACCTTATGAATTATCGCGTGTATCTCAATAACAATATATTCCATGTAGAAATTTTCAGATCAATTTGAAATCGATTTTTCTTCCTATCAGATGTGATAGATGTTAATATATTATTTAGAAGAAGAAAGGCTTTTCCTTTTAATTTTGCAACATGACATTCTAAAACTTGGCATTGATTATTTTGCCAAGTTTTAGAATTGTAACAATTCTATGTAATATTTTTTGCGATAATGTTCCCAATTGATTGCCATGTCCTACAATCTTTATGCGAAATCAAACAACAATCTCGCGGCATTAAAATACAATAGGAAAACCTTCGAACAATAGGAAAAAAATTGATAATTGATAGCTTTGAAAGAGCAACGTGATAAAAAAAATGGCTAAAGAACGAATTAGGTCTCTTTTATGCGGGTCCTTGATGAGTATCAGTCCTATAAAAAAAAAAGCACAGATTGCGGCAGTTTATTGTAATAATAGATCGTGAAAACATTTGAGATAATGGGTAATTACTTGACACGCTTTGCGGTAATTAAAACGATGATATGTCATGCATATGTATGCGTGTATTCTTTTTTTATTTTTAAATAATTGACTGATCCTTTCGATATATCCTCGGGTAAATAAACTGATGATTTACTTTTTCTCATATTTTACGATATGCATATCAGATTAAAGGAGCCAAAAATACTCAAAAAGAAAAGGAATAAATAAAGTTTCTATTAAAAACACTAAATTAACAATTCAATGTTAATATGAAGTCAATAACAGTCAATAAAAATTGTCAAAAATTTTATCTGTAATTATATAAAAATAAATTAAAAATATTAATTATATAAAAATAAATTAATAATATTAAGTTTATATGTTCGTTAAGTTGGAGTCACATATACACGATATATCGATAGTATTAATAAAAACAGTACATTAATTCTCTTTTTTTTATTCGAGTGTGACATTCCAGAAAGTATGCACAATAATGTCGCCCATAAATCTGCATACGTTATGGTAAGAAAAGTGTAGAGTAATCGCGTGATTAAACATTCATATATATATATTTATGCATGACCGTTTTTCCGAAATGTTTGAATACTTTGTTAAATAATATTTTCCAAAAATTATTACACACAAAATATGCTCCCTATAAACAATTTTTTGTGATACTTTTTTATAATAATTATATTATTACACGCAAATATAATATATTTCGTGATTTGAATCTGCTTCAGATTTTTTCTTTGTTCAAGTTAATTTGAGTGTTTTTCCGCGAAAGTACAAGACACATTGTAGGTTCGATTATATAGGAATTCCTCAAGAAACTCGATCTTATGCTTGCGTCTTGGAAATAATCCGTGGATCCAGTGAGGTTCTTTGACGCGTTTATATGTGTACAGTAGAAGCTAAACTCGTATTATTTCTAAAATAAATGTAGTGAGACGTTTCATAAATCTATTTCCGGAAATAGATTAGCCGCAGATTTAACCCTGCTCTTTGTCACATTATTATCAACAAAGTCGAAGATCTCCACATTATTCGATAATTTTATTATCAATTGTTTATATTATTGCTTCGATTTAATATTAACGAAGTATATATCAAGTTGTTCCGGGATAAGCTATTGCTTCTCTATTTCAGATTTTCCTCTTATGAGTTTATCCATATAAATAAATATTAGATTTCTTTTTTTTTAAGTATTATCGCAATATTTTTATATGCGAGGAGACTGCATTTGGAATTGAATTAATAGCAAAATAGTATCGGAATGCAAAAAGAATGCGAAACGCGACGTTCATAATTAGATAATGATTAAATAATTTGACGAAAAGAACCGAGAAAATTTGAGTCAATTTAAAAAGAAGCCTTCTTCAAATAGTTCTTACATTCATCAACATTATAATTGATAATGACACACAAAATTACATCATTCATTTATCATCCTACCTATTTTCCACATCTCTTTGTCTTGAATTTCACAATCAACGTTTACTCGCATGACTCCGATATATTACGAATGAGAGATCGCGTGATGTTTATCGGTATCTTTAATATTTGTGAAAAAAGAAAATATTTGCGATAACGCGAGACACATTGCGCAATCAATGTAATAATATTACACGTGGCTATATATATGTGTTTTGGATAATCGGATGCAAATCCGAGAGGGTCGTTATCTCGCAGATGTCAAATGATGATGTTCTCGTATGAATAGCGAAGTAATCGTATGTAAAATTATTATATAAAATCATAAAAGCTCAGTGTGTAATTTACGATTCGGGAGAGATCGTATTCTACATACAGAAAGAATTTTCTTTTATAGAATTTACCTTGAAAATCATGGTAATCGTAGGACAATATAATATTGGAAGAATTTTATAAGAATTTCTCTGATTAATATTTACTATGGTAAAAAATATTAATCCGTATATATTAATATTTTTAAAACATTTTTAAATATTAATATATATTAATATTTTTTATTGCGGCAAATATTTAATCAGAGAAACTTTTATAAAATTCTTCCAATATGTAATTTTATAAAATATAATATAATATTTTGTATAAAATATAATATAATGTAATTTTATATAAAATATAATATAATATATAATTTTATAAAATTCTTCCAATTGTCCTATACGATTCCCATGATTTTCAGAATAAATTCTGAGAGAAAATTCTCTCCGTATAACAATAAGAGTATCTAGAAAAGTAAATCTTTCCGATTAATCACGCATCATTATACCGCTCGCGATCTCCCTCGCATTTCAGACACGTTAAATATAGAATCACGGATAGGAAAGGGTCGAGAAAAATTGCGAAATTGCGAATCAGTGGCTGCTCCATATTACTTGTTTTCACCATATTTGTTTTTCGTAACATTTCACGTGCGTATTTATTATTTTACTTATTTTAATAACTGACGATAACGTAGTTTTTCACAAAGAAAAATTCCTATTTTGTGCAATTATTTGTAAAAGAGTTATCTAAAATTATTCAGAAAATTAGTCGAGAAATTTTTTTAATGTTCGAATAAATATTTATTACAACATATTACAAAATATATTATTTATAAGAAATCTCTAATATAAAAAAATAGACTTTTCCGGTCGTATCTTTATCACATTGTCGATAATAAAAGGATGATTAAGTGCGTGCGAGATATCTTTAATTGGTTCCGCGTCGCTGATTTGCGATACATATCGCGCGATATATGCGTATACGCATTCGCGATAGACATCTCGAATCCGGAACGAGGATCATCAAGAGCACTTAATCGAAACTGTGAATTATTGTGCACAATCGTCCTATTATTTCGAGTTGAGTCTCTTCGAGAGCATTTAAATCGATCTCGAATGCAGATTGAGCAAAGGAGCGTCGCTTATAATTCATAACTTTATAACAGACTATTTTGTTATAGTTTTATAAAAAAATTATCTAAGATTTTTTTTAATTGACAACAGCTTTTTTTACGCTCGTTCATAATCGTTTACTCGTACTTAATTTACGCTCGACCTAGATTCGGTTTAATGTACCGCAATTTGTGCGACAC